TTAAAACTTTCACCAACGATGGGGGGAATACTTTTTACAATTCACAAAGATTCAGACAAAAAAGGTCACATTATTTAGATAGTTCAGACTAGCTAGGAGAAAAACAGTGTTTTCCTGAGCCATCCAATCAAACTGCCTTCGATGATCAAGTCATTGGAATAATCCTGCTCTGCTCTTGATGTGCACACACCCCACTGAACTCATCTGCTGATAACCTCTGATATCTTTCCCAGGATAACACAGGAGGCAAAGCCAGAATTTAAGCAGAAGGGACCAGAGACGAGCTCAACATGACAAAGGTTAAAATAAATTCCATTAATATCGACTCCTTTTAGAATTCATTTCAAATATTGCTCCCTCCCCCCGCCTATTATGTTTCCTTCATGAATTTTTCAGTAGACTGTTCTAGTTGTGGGCCACACTGCAGAGTTTAATTTTAAGTCCTGTCTTTGGAGTTTTGATGAGGAGGGAATAAGAAAAACTTCTGAAATTCCCCCAAAATATTATAATATCTTTCATGGTAAACATACACATCAATATCATAGCTTTTAAGCCAGTCAATTATGGAGCCTGTTGTAAAAGCCCTGGAGACATTTCCTCTAAGTCTATAGATATTTTGGTAACAAGTGAAACATATAGATTTATCTGTGTGTCTACAGTAGATGTCATTGTTAGAAAATGAGCACTGGCTGCTCCAAGAAGCATATATAAGCCGGTGTACACACTTAAGGACCTGCGCATCAGTAGGTGTCTGGTTGTCTGCCAGCAAAGAGGCAGTGTGTCCAAGAACCAGGAAGCAATAGTTAGTGGTGCAGGGCCAAAAAGAGGCATCCGTGTTTGGAAATAGGACCTCTGGCATCAAAATATCCCATTGCCTCCAACTGACATTAGGTAGAAGTGAGCAGACGGTAAGTCTGATAGATTCTTAGGAGACACTGACACCCGAGAACTTTGTTTTGGAAATGCAGCTAAATAATCCCCATTTGAAATAGGATTTTGTTCCTTCTACACATGTTATTAGTGGCTCTAAGAAGTTAGGGAGAGGATATTTGGAGTCCCCTCCAGCATTATCTTCCCACTTTGAACTCAGTGGAAAGTTTTGACACTGTAACTGGTAACTGTGTTTCACATGTACATATGCAAATACAGGATGAATGTCTGTAATGTGATAATTGAAATTTTGGGACCACCAGACATTTTGGTTAAGAGCTAATCAACCAGTTTGTGTACATGTGCAATATGAATGTGGTTTTGAAACTGAACATCAGCCTTGTCAGACACACACATAGGATGACTTGAATTGTAGCTATAAGCCTGTGAGCTTACATCATTGAATTCTACTTATTTCAAGTCAGATTCACTGCTGTTGGGGGTAATGAAAATGTTAAGTCATCCCTTTGGTATTCTGAAATGTCTTTATTTACAGGGTATAGAAGTCAGGAGGCATAGGAAAAAGAAGGTTGGTTTGGGGGCCAAAGGACTGGGATTAAATCCCATTCCATCAGCTAATAGCTATGACATTAGGCAAGTTATTTAATGTCTCTGAAACTATTAATAAAATTGGAATAACAATACCTATCTCACTAATAAATTATGAGCAGTAAACAAAATACTTTTTTAAAAAAGTTTGTCCCCTGATTGTTTGGCAAAGTGTAGACATTAGAAAGAAACTATCTTTACAAGATTAAAAGGGCCCAGAATAATGCATTTCCCTCCCAAATAACATGCACATGTGTATGGGCTCCTGTTAATAGTAGAAGGACTTCCATGGAAATTCACCACAGTTGTCTCTTCTAGAAACACAGCTGTAGACCTAATAGCCTGTCATTCAAAGAGTTTATCTAGGAGGATATAACTCAGTGGTAGAGCCTGTGCTTAGCATGCACAAGGTCCGGGGTTCTATCCCAGAGCCACATACACACTTAAAAAACAAACAAAAAAAAAAAAAACACAAATAGTGTATGTATCTATAACTACCTTTGATTGAGTTATCAAGGACGATTAAGAAGATTAAGTTCTACTTTTCTAAAGCCACAGTCCATATACATTATATGGAAATTGACTACTTTTAAGAGAGTTTTTTAAATTTCAATTATTTGTTTCTGTGTGTATGCATGTATATAAAATTCAATAGAAAGTTTGTATTCATTTTGATTTACCCACACACCTACCATTTACTTTGTCCTTCATTCTTCCCCAAATCTACAAATTTTTATCCAGATTCAGGGTTTTTTCCTACCTAAAGAATACTCTTTAGTATTTTCTGTAGTATAGACTCATTGGCAGTGAATTATTTTAGTTTGCCAAAAAAAAAAAAAATAGTGTATTTATATTTCTTCGATTTTTGAAGGATTTGTTCTCTCCTTGTAGAATTTCTAATTGGCAATTTTTCTTTAGTACTTTAAAGGTATTTTGTAGTCTTCTGGATAACATTTTTGTTGAGACATAAACTGAGTTTAATTGTTGCTTATTTGGAAGTAACGTTTATTTTGTTCTGGAGACTTTGGAGATGATGTATCTTTAGTTTAATGACAGCCTACCTAGGTGAGGATTTCTTTTTATTTTTCTTTCTTTGAGGTCAATCCTTCTTGAATCCTTGACCTATTGTTTCTCATTTGCTTCTGGAAATTCTTAATCATCATCTCAGGTATTACATCTGTCCCATTCTTTCTCTCCCCTACTCCTAGGATTCAAGTTATTATTAGACTTTCTCGAATCTCTCTTTTCTGTATTAACCATCTTTTTGTCTCTGCATTTTATTCTAGGTGGGTTTTTTAATTTATTTTTTAGTTGGACACAATGCCTTTATTTTATTTATTTTTTTATGTGGTGCTGAGGATCAAACCCAAGGCCTTGCATGTGCTAGGTGAGCACTCTACCCCGCTGAGCCACAACCCCAGCCGTTTTATTCTCCATAGTTTCTTCTAAAGCTCTTACTAGAATCCAGTTCCCTAATCTTCTCTTCAGCTGACTATTTCATTTTAAAATGCATTGCATTCTTAAGGAGAGGGGATGTTGTTTGAATTCTAGAATGTCCATGGATCTTATAAAAATAGATTCTAATTCTCCACCCTCAATCTCACCTTTAATCTTAAATATTGTAAGCATAGTCATTTTTAAAGTCTATATCTGATGACTCTATTTCAGAAGCTCCTATGAGTCTGATTTTTTTTATTGTCTGCTCTCCTTATTGGTTTTCATGTTATCTGATCTTGCTGCCCCCCATCCCCTACTTTTTACAAAATTTGTCAAATCACTTGCAGAAATAATCTAAGACCTTAATCTAATTTTAGGTACCGAAATGATTCAGATCTGAGCTTTAGGACTTGAAAGGCCTGTCTGCTTCTTGGTCATCATTCTTTCTAAGGTGTGATGCTCTGTGGCCACAACCCAGTAGTGGGTTTACCAAGAGCCCTCTCCTTGAGGTACCCTGAAGTCCTTTCCCTGCCACTCTTCTTTTGAGATTATCAGAAGCCCACTTGGTTTCACAAGTGCTCTGCCCTGCACTGTATAAAACAGGCCCCCAAACAGGGTTCTGGGCTGTCAGTATTTCTTGATCTGACTCAGTAATTCTTTACTCTCATTTTCTGTCCAGTGCCATATTTAAAAAATGGCTTTTGGGGGCGGGGTGGTTATTGTGTGTGTATGCATGTGCGTGCAATTTTTTTTTTCAAACTTTGTCTTTAGCAGGAAGGTTGATTCAAACCATCTATCTAGTCTTCTCCATCCATAAGGACCATTGAAAATTTGCTTTTTAAACTATTTCATTTTATCTCCTTTTGAAAATAAAGTTGAAGACATAAAATGCCCAGGAGAATTAAATTGTTAAAAATCTGAAGTGCATCTCATTCTAACGCAGTGACAACAGTGAGACTGTGGATGGTTCACTGTCCCCTGCACACCCCTTATGTCCTTTGTACACAGAGCCCTACTCCAAGGTCTCTCTCCTTCACTGCCACGTCTCTACCCTCACTGTTTTGTAAACCTCAGCCCAGCATCTTCTCATCCAGTGAAACTTCCTTAGGCGCCACTTCTCCTAGACTGGTGTGTATCTTTCTCCTTTCAGTGACTCCACACTCTACAGAGCTCTGTCACCCCCCCCCCCACCACCACGCTGATTGGCAGTTATTGATCATGTGTTTCTTGGGCCCACTTGGTTGTGATCTCCTTTGGGACTGGAACTGTCTTCCTGCGGTCTCCTTAGCATGGTGGCTGACACAATGGCACAGAGACGGGGCACCTGTGGATGGGATACTGGGCTTCTGTTATTTGCTTCTCAAACCAACACAGACTGGTCTGGTCTAGGTGCCTAGGGCGTGAACTGAAGGACGGACTGTGCCCTTGGGTGTCCTTCCAAACCCTGACCAACCTTCGGATCCTGGGAAACCCTTCCCTAGTCATTCAAGCCCTTACTGACAATTCTGAAATTTCTAGAGCACACACTCATTTACCCAGTAAATATTTGTTTTGTTCCAGCCACATGCAAAGTCCCCTTCAAGGGGCTGGGGTACAGTGATAAACACAGTGCCTTCTTCACAGAGCCTGCAGTCGCTCGGATCTGTATGCGGCCCTGTTGCACATGTTGGTAACCTGTGTCCAGTGAGCTGGTAACGTTCCGGACCCTATAGCTCAGGCTCCTGAGTTACCAGAGCCCAGCTCATCTCGGGGCATACATAGGGTGTTTTCTGTCACGGGGGGGTCGATGCCTTGTTTGAGGAGAGCCTGTAGTAAAACATTTCAAATGCCAAATGGACTTTTTACACTGGACATGTCTCTCACTGGCCTCTGCCCAGCATCTATATGGGGTAAGTTAGCATCTTTATGGGTTGAAAGGAAGGTCAGGAGGCTCATTTGTAGTGTGTTTCTGGGGAGAAGATCGTTTATAAACTAAGTCTTTTTTTTTCTTTTCAGCCTGTGAGTGCACATGTGTTAACCAAAACGGCAAATCATTCTCATGATTCCTTCCTCTCCCCTCTCTCTGTCTCTCCCTGTCTCTGCAGGTCAGCGTTGAGGTTTTGGTAGAGTACCCTTTTTTTGTGTTTGGACAGGGCTGGTCATCCTGCTGCCCAGAGAGAACCAGCCAGCTCTTTGATTTGCCGTGTTCCAAACTCTCTGTTGGGGATGTCTGCATCTCGCTGACCCTCAAGAACCTGAAGAACGGCTCTGTTAAAAAGGGCCAGCCCGTGGATCCTGCCAGCGTCCTGCTGAAGCACTCAAAGACGGACAGCCTGGCGGGCAGTAGACACAGGTATGCTGAGCAGGAGAATGGAATCAATCAGGGAAGTGCCCAGATGCTCTCTGAGAATGGTGAACTGAAGTTTCCAGAAAAAATAGGATTGCCTGCAGCGCCCTTCCTCACCAAAATAGAACCCAGCAAGCCCACGGCCACGAGGAAGAGGAGGTGGTCAGCTCCGGAGACCCGCAAACTGGAGAAGCCAGAAGAGGAGCCACCTTTGACTCTTCCCAAGCCCTCTCTCATCCCTCAGGAGGTTAAGATCTGCATCGAGGGCCGGTCTAACCTGGGCAAGTAGAGGCCGATTGGGGAAGGAAATGTCTCTCCCTAACCATCCGTATCCAGATTACTGTACTGTAGGCTAAGAACACAGTATTTACATGTTATCCTCTTACTTTAGGTTTCTGTTCTAACCTTGTCATTCTAGAGTTACAGCAGGTGTGTCACGGGAGACTGGTGCATTTGCTTTGTCTGAGAGTGTCTGTCGGGGAGCAGGCGGGTGGAGGGGGGGTCAGAGCAGTGACAATCCAGGCTCCAGGCATCCTGGGTGGAAACGAATGTGGCTTCACCAGCGTCCGCCTTCTCCAGCGGCACGGAGGCATCCAATGGGCACGATTCCCTCTCGTTTCAAGAGAGAGTTCCACGGGAAGGGACCTGCCAGGGTGCAGGGTGCGTGCCTGTGGGGGTGCACGCCTGTAGGGGTGCACGGGTGCGGCAGTGGAGAGTGGGCGTCTCTTTTTCTCTGCCTCCCTCTGCCTCTCACTGTCAGCATGGGAATGGGGGTCCCCAGCAGTGTCCTCCTGGGGTTCCCTGTGTGCAAAATCATCATCAGGAACCCAGCTTCAGGGTATCTTAGGGAGACATCAGATGGCAGATAGAAAGCTGACAGTTTCAAAGAACATTTTTCTCTCCAACCTATTTTACAATAAAAGCAACTTTTAATCATATAGATATATATTTCCCCCTATGGGGCCTGACTGCACTGATATATATAAAAATATATATATTTTGTTTTTAAAAGAGCAACTGCCACACGTGGGATTTCATTTCTGCTTTACAAGTGCAGTGATGTCACCAGGGTGTCACCATGAGCAGGGAAGCCCCTGCTCAGGTCGCTCCATCGGGGTGGGTGGGAGCTGGTTTCTGAGCAGTGTTAGGACAACCAATCAGGTTATTGCATTGACTTAGCTCCCAAGAGGTGGCTGCAAACTGCCCTCCAGCGAGAGCAACGATGCTCTCCCAGTTGAGTTTGCAAAATCTTTTGTCTTTTAACTCTAGTACTGTTTATAGTTCATCACTATGGACAACCCGGGTGCCACTTTTTTCAGATTCCAGTGGGGTACGAGGAATGAGATTTGGAAGATGAGCAAATATTACTATCTCTAAGCACTTAAAATGCTGTTCACACTTTACTACCAAGCATCTTGGTCTGTCATTTAATGAGTACTGTATCTCACTTAAAACTCTTTGGGAAGAGAAAAAAAAAAAAGGAAAAAACTAAGTTGCTTTCTTTCTTTTCTTTTTTCCCCCCCCCAACACTGTAACTGCATTTCAACTCTGCAGAGTTGCTCACGAGCAAGATACTGAAAGTTTCAATGTGGTTTAAAGGGATGAATGTGAATTATGAACTAGTATGTGACCATAAATGACCACCAAGTACTACCTGACAGGAGGCACTTGCCACTTTGATGTTGGAGAAGGAATTCAAGGCATATGCAGATTTGGCAGAGAAACAGAGAGAGAAGGGATGGAGAAAAGAATACTCATTTTTGTCCAGTGTTTTTAAGATGAACTTTTAAAGAACCTTGCGATTTGCACATCTTGAGTTTATAATTTGTGTGATATTCCTGCAGTTTTTATCCAATAACATTGTGGGAAAGGTTTGGGGGACAGAACGAGCATAAATAAATGTAGCAAAATTACTTTCTAACCTGCCTAAACTCTAGGCCATTTTATAAGTTTATGTTCCTTTCAAAAAATTCATTTTGGTCTTTCTACCACATCTGTCATGAAAAGCCAGGTCTTAGCAGGACAACTCTGAGAATTTTCTTCAGATTCATTGAGAGAGTTTTCCATAAAGACATTTATATATGTGAGCAAGTTTTTTTTTAAAAAAAAATTACTTTATTATTATTATTAATGTTATTTTCAGAATGACTTTTTTTTTCTATTTGAAATCAAATCAAGATTTAATGTTTGGTACAAACCCAGAAAGGGTATTTCATAAAGTTTAAACCTTTCATTCCCAGAGATCTGAATCATCATTTGTGGGTTTCAAGTGCATCCTAACGTGCTTTACAAAACAACAACAACAAAATGTTTTATAAGTAGGGAGAAGTTTTTCAGTGTTCTTACTTGGATGGCTGCAGCTAAACAAATACTTATTAGATTTTTCTTTTTCCAGTGAAAGTAGTACTTCTTCCATTTCACAAATTTAATAGAAAAAAAAAAATCCTAACATCAACCCACAGGTTAGCTGTCTAGTATTCATTTACATTTAACTCTCAGCAGGACTAATGATTTTTATAAACCAGTTTCTGGGGTGTACCAAAAACATTTAAATAGGTTTAGAAATAGCTAAACTCCTTCCTTGACTTGTCTTGAACTTCATTACCCTCTCAGCATGCTAGCGAAGCTGGGTGGGCTCCCCGCGGGCCTCCTGCTTAGTTAGTGCTGTTCTTCTTAAACGTTTCTGTTCAGAGAACTTGCTTAATCTTCCATATATTCTGCTCAGGGCACTTGCAATTATTAGGTTTGGGTTTTCTTTTTTTTTTTTTTTAACCTTGAATGGTGAGAGGAACACGGGGCTGCCCCATGGACTTTGTTCTCATTCATACCACTATTTACAACAGCTCACGTGGGCTCAGAAAAACACACCCCACCTTCCGGGCCCGCTTTGCGAATGGAACTGACCGCATCCACTCAACCAACACTAAAACGGGAAAAAACACATTTGGTTCGAAGCAATAGGAGCACCATCGCGATTCCGTGGTCCTCCCCTGGGTTGCCATCGCATTCTCTTGCTCTCTTAGCATGTGCAATACTTTCTGTGCCAACAGAGTCTGACCTGTGTGCTTTCTAGTTAAAGCGCATTTCCTTTTGGCTTTTTTTTCCCCTGTGTGGTTGGTGGATCTTCCCCATTCTGGCCAGAGAAGGGCTGGAGGGAAGGAACCAGAACGGGGAGCCCTCCCACCTTCCCCCTGCTGTGGGTGCTGAGTGCTTGGGCGGGCGTGGAGCCTGCAGGAGCCCCTCGTGTCTGTCACCATGTCACACAGAGAGCCAGCCAAGGAGGTCTGGGGGAAGAGCTTCAGTCCCCCCATCACCCCGTGAAATAGTGAATGGAATGGAGGAAGGAGGCAGATCACGTCCAAGACGCACCCTGGAGCCATGCAGGCTGGAATCACCCATTTTCCATGGCCATTTCTGCCAACAGGCAGGCCCCTCCTGGGGGGTCTGTGTCCTTGAGACCTGGAGCCCTGGCTCTGAGCGTGGGCAGCAAACGTGGTGGCCCTTGGTGCACCGTGCATGCCATCCGAGCGTGCCGGCCAGTGGCTGTGGAGGGGACCACCTGCCAACCTGGTCACTGCGCTCTTGTGGCAGCTCTCCTCTTCAAGTAGGAAGAACGCGCAGAAGACGGGAGCCTCCTCTGGTTTGCAGACAGGCGAGTCCGGAGCAGCCTGTCACCGCTTCTGTGTAGCAAACCTAACAATGACAGGGGTAGAAACTCTTCGGTGCCGGTCAGTGTACGAGGATCAGCCGCGTGCCTCTGTACTGTCCTCTTGGCAATATTTACCAACAGCCGTCTTTCGTTCCTCTTTCTTTCCCGTTTTCCATTTTTTTAAACTAAATAACAGCAGGCCTTTTACGTTTACAACTGAACACAATCACCAAGAAATTAGTCAGGGCGAAAAGAAAAAAAAATAATAATAATACTATTAATAAGAAACCAACAAACAAGAACCTCTCTTTATAGGGAATTTCTCAATATATAAAAATGACTGTTCCTTTAGAATGTTGAACTTGGGAATTATTTCAGTTTGTCTGGGCCACATGGCGGGCAGAGGGGGAGGGAGGGATACAGAGACGGCCACCACTTACCTCAAACCTTTAAAAAAAAGTAGAAATACAAACTGCATTTCATTGGGACTTTGGGGATGGTTTTTGACGTCGGTCAAGTTTTTGTTCTCCCCGGTTCACCTGGTCTGGTCTGGGATGATATGATTCCCCCCCCCACCCTGTGGCAGTGATGGTGGCTGATCCCATTCAGTGAACTGTGACCCTGTGTGTTTTCTGTTCGGTGAGTGTGTCGGGTCCCCCCCTCCCTCTCCCCTAAAGGAACTCTGCGGAACTTTCACACCTCTTACTCAGGGACGGGGCTGGTGTGTGTGGAACACTGAGGTCCAGCAGCGGCACTTTGCTGCTCTGGAGTAGGGCTGTGCAACTTCCAGGAACGTTTGGGTTTCCTGCATCGTGTGATCACTCCTTAGATCCCGCATAGACTGCAATAGAATGCTGCATGTTCAAGACGAACAGTGGCTCCTGGTATTCATAAAAATCCACTCTTTGCACATAGTTTGAAACCTTACTGAAATAAGTTGCCAAAATTTATTTTTTGTTGTCGTAGCTTTGGATTCACTTTTTGTTTTTGTTTTTTTAAGGAAACAATTGACAATACCCTTTTAACATCTGTGACTACTAAGGAAACCTATTTCTTTCATAGAGAGAAACAAAAAAAAAATCTGAGATGCTTTTGAAGACACTAATGCTATGCTATTTCAGACATGGGTGAGGAAGCAGAGCTCGGGGGACAGAAAACCGGGCTTCTTGAGCCGCGCTGGTTGTCATGGATACTGTTTCCTGAATCACGAGCCGCTCAACGAACTGGCCCGGTCTCTCCTGAAACCCTTGGCATTTCCGATTTCCTAGTCACCCTCGATAAATCCAGGTGAAAACAGGGCCGGAGGTCTCCCTGGCCCAATCCAGTTTCTTCAGTGAATGAAAGAGAATTACACTTTTTGGTTGTTTTTAAAGTGGAGTGGAGGCTGTTGCTTCTACATTTTGTGTTTTTAACCCAGAATTTCTGAAATAGAGAATTTAAGAACACATCAAGTAATAAAAATACAGAGAACATACTTTTTATAAAGCACACGCGTATGGTGTATTGTGATGGGTTGGTTTCCTCTCTTTTCCACGGACAGTGTTGTATTTCTGTTCATAAGGAAACTCCAAACAACTTGCACACCTCTACTCCGGAGCTGAGATTTCTTTTACATAAATGACCTCGCTTCAAATATGTTACCTTACTGATAGGATCTTTTCTTGTAGCACTATACCTTGTGGGAATTTTTTTTTTCCTTTAATGTACACCTAATTTGAGAAGCTGAAGAAAAATAAAAATTTAAGCACTCACTTTGAGGAGTACAGGTAATGTTTTTAATAAAATTGCACAAAAGAAAAATGAATGTCGAGATGATTCATTCAGTGTTTGAAAGATGTGATCTGTTGAAACAGTGAGTTTCATACTTGTTTGTAAAAACGGAGAAGAAAAAGTGGAGAAAGGTTGAAAGTTACATGTTTGGACTTTTTTTTTTGTATATAGAAATTTGTCATGTCTAAATGATCAGATTTGTATGGTTGTGGCCTGAAAGAATTACTACGTCATAGGCTCTTAAACGACACCTATGCTTCCTGTGATGTGTTTGTTACATAGCCCTCGGCCGAGGGAGAGAAACTCTGCGTACCGCTATTTGAGAATACTGTTCATTCCTGGCTGAAAGTACTTCTCAGAGCTCCCTTTTTAGTCTAAACTCTTTTAAGCCACTTGCAACTACTTTTTCTTCAGAGATGATGTTTTTGACATGTTCAGCACTTCCTGTTCCTATAAACCCAAAGAATATATTCCTGAACATGAAGTGTTTCTAAAAGGGATCCTAGCTACCAATAAAACAGGACTCATTCTGAGGACAAAATATATAAAAAGGTTAGCCTTCTTGCCCCTTACACACACACACACATACATTTAAATGGAGGGTAAAATATGAATTTTAATATTTATGCCTCATTTTACTTTTAGTTTCATTTTGATTTTTCTTTAATAGAGGCCAAAAACAAATGTAGAGGGATTTCTCAGAATTCATATTTCTGTCCCCAAATCAGGCTAGACAGCTGTGGGGATATTAAATGTACCCAGCTATAGTTCTTAAATTTCAGAATCCCAGCCCGTCCCTGATAATTCAGTGCAACTGTCTGCACAGCTGACATTCACATGTACAGGGTGGGAGGGACCCACAGCTTCCCTTTCTCATGTCCCCACGGCTTGCATTACAAACGGTTCAGCTGTATTAAAAATTAAGTGCATTTGGCCAATAGGTGGTATCTCTACAGTAACAGTCTCTAAGAATTCCCATAACTTTTCTTATCTGAAAGGACTCCAGTCTTCCACTGCAGATAAATTGGAGACTTCACCAACCCACATTTTCTTTCTCTTTAGTTTGTCTGTCTGTGTGCTGTTTGGATGGTCGGTGACCTGTCTCCTTAACCGTGGCCAATCTGAAGGCCTGCGTGGGAAGAGTTGTTTACAGTAATTCTTAGCAAGATGACAAACATAGTGTCCTCCAGAACACCAGGTCCAGGTGACACTGGCTTAGAGCTGTTGTCTTTAAAGATCCCTGAGAGGGTGGGTGCATAGATTTTTCTCTGGTTCTCACACAAACCCCCTACTCTCTAAGTTATTCTCTGGCTCAGGAGTGGGGTAAATTATTGAGTCAGTGAATCTTAAACTTGATACCTGTGCATCCAGGTGTGTGAATATTGCTCTTGTGGCCAGGATTCTTCCTCCCACTCTGCACTGCTCAACTGTAAACCCAATTAGTGTCAACAGAAAGGTTTTCATAGAGTCCTGTGTTTGCGGTGGCCTTTGGATAAGACAGAGTCCTCATTTCTAGCCAGTGGGGTGCTGACCCCAGAGCCATCTCTGAGATTAGTACCACTGGATGTTTAAACATTGGATTCGTACCCACCAAACTTCCAATTGTATGCCTCCCACAGGCCAAGGGAAAACAGACACCAAAACTTGGGTCGAGGGCATGACCAGAAAGAGCCAGCCAGTATGGAGAAGAACTAGGGAAGGAATGATGTTTTGCACCTTACTGAAAAGAAAATTTTAAGTGCATACATAGTTAAGAGCTTTTATTGTGACAGGAGAACTTTTTCCATATGCGTGCATACTCTCTGTAATTCCAGTGTAAAATATTGTACTTGCACTAGCTTTTTTAAAACAAATATTAAAAAAATGGAAGAATTCATATTCTATTTTCTAATCGTGGTGTGTCTATTTGTAGGATACACTCGAGTCTGTTTATTGAATTTTATGGTCCCTTTCTTTGATGGTGCTTGCAGGTTTTCTAGGTAGAAATTATTTCATTATTATAATAAAACAATGTTTGATTCAAAATTTGAACAAAATTGTTTTAAATAAATTGTCTGTATACCAGTACAAGTTTATTGTTTCAGTATACTCGTACTAATAAAATAACAGTGCCAATTGCAAATGAGTCTTTGCCTTCTGTGGGTAGTTCTTCCTTCTGCCACCAAGTGTCCCATGACTTCCCCACCGGCGGAGTTGGGGAGGTGTTGCTGAGTAGCCTGAGACTTGGTTTCCCTACTCATTTTGGGGAAGGAGGCCCTTGAGATGAGGTTCTCAGATAAGAGGTTGGCATCCACTCATGATGTCCTGGTTGGTTCAGATCCTGCTTGTGTCTGAATCCTGTTGTTCACAGGTTTTGTTGGTAAACATCTGGCAGCTTCCTGGGCTCGCATGGCATAATCAATATGTTCTCTGCGGTTTTGCTGTAGCCCAGTTAGTGGTCTAAAGGTGGAAAGATCATCTGTGTTTCCTGCAGCTCCACAATGATTGCTGAGAAGCCCAGTGGGGAGGGGTCTCTGGGTACGAGGAGCTGCCCCATGTCTGTCTCAAGTTTGCACGGGGTTGTCTGGGGAGGATGTGGCCTAAAGTCGTTTCTCAAGGACCTGAGACTTTCAGGGGGGGGTGGATTGGGGAGGGGTCCTCACCCTACCTGTGGACACAGCTATGACAGGTGTCCAGCCTTGTGGTTCCATGTTGCAGAAGAGAACTTGAGAGAAACCCAGGAGTCCTGGTGTGGTCCGGGAGGAATGGGACCCTCCTTCCTCTGTCACCTCTGCTGGGTTTGCTGGGGGGCATCAGCTATCCTCTTAGGACTTGAGTCGAGGGCCTGACACTGTCATAGTGGGAAAGAACTGGCATGGAGCAAGCGGTGATGGGGGAGCCGGAGGCCAGGCCGGGCGGCCCTTCAGTGGGGCCGCTGTCCGGGCAGCTGGAGCTGGCTGACCGCTACCTTGCCTGCTTCACTTTTCTTTGCTGCTAAGGGTCCTCAGAGGTCTGGAGTCCGATGGCTGTGATATCCCCAGGGGTTCAAAGCACAGCTTCAAGGGCTGCCGTGGGTCAGGCCCTGAAACCATTTGAATCATGGTCCAGCCCAAGGTGAGTGCCAGGCTCACAGACTGTGCCCCAGGTGGCCACAGTACTGCACACTATGCCTCCATCCACATCCTAACTGATGCCTGGTCTCTGGGGCGCTCAGGTGGTGGGGCTCCTCCAGGAACAGAGATGAACTTGCTAAGGGGGATGGGATGCCAGTTCTTTTTATGGTGCCTCCTTCAATATGACCCTTTGCAATGACTGTCTTTACTTCCCTAGAAGCTGGATTGCAAGCCCCTGCCTTTGGTTGTGAGGATGAAGAACACGTCTTTCCACAAGATGGTAAAGCAGCGTGGATCGGGGCCATCCCGCTCCAGGGAACCAGTGTACTCTGAGAGCCGAACTTGAGAAAGGAGACACTGGGTCACAATAGCAGGAGTTTGGAGAGGGTCACAGTCCTAGAGGAAGTCCCTGTACTATGGCAGGAACTTTTAGTGGATTTGGATTTCCTTTTCTTCACTTCTCTCCCTTATCTTGCAAGAGTCTCATTAAAACAAAGTTCCGGACTTGAGTGTGAAATGCTCCTCCCACAGGGACAGCCGGAGGCTGACACTTCACCCAGACAGGCGGGAAGGGGGAGTGGGGGGCCATCGAGCCCCACCTTTTGCTCAACAGGAAACATCCTCTTGACCCTCAAACATTCTCCAAAACTGAGCCCCTCGTGTTTCCACAGGTAAAGAGCAGCTCTGTGGACTTCAGGGTGGGGACAGGGTAAGTTACTCTGGTATTGGAAACGTGCCTTGAAAAACAAACGGGGCCTCTATTCTCCCAGTGTGACAGTGTGGCTGGCCTGGGACGCTTGATGGGCTCATCCTTATTCAGCAGCACAGAGTGCCCCTCTCTACTCCAGGGACCTCAGGGAGGTGGTTGCCTTTTCAAAGAAACTCTTCTCCTGCCTCATTAACACAAGGAAGTGTCACATCCTGGAGTGTATAAACTGCCGATCCTCAGGAGCCCCTGGGCCCTTCTGTCCAGACAAGACCACTGTCACCAGCCAGCCAAACCCTCTATGGCAGAACCACGTGGTCCTTCCTCATTGGGTATTAATTGCTACGGCAAGGGAAGGGCTCAGTCTCTCATCTTAGAACAATGCCTTTGAGGATGCTACTGAGCCAGTTGCTCTTCCAACAGGACTCCACCCGCTAATCTCTTTGAAGCTGGACCAGATGTTAAAGGTTATGTGCAGAGTAATTTATAACCTCTTTGAGAAGGTCCAGCCTGACAAGTTGGGACTGAGATGGGGAGGAAAAAGGATGGAGAAAAGGAAGAAGAAACCTCTGTTCAGGCCAGCTGCCAGGCAGCAGCTCCAACAGGTAGCCAGAGATGCCCCTTGGAAGGCCAGTATGAAGGAGGTGTCGAGACACCGCCAAGCCCGTGAGCCCCGGCAGGGGACCAGACCTCATGTTCTTCTCCAGCAGCCAAGAGCTGGAGAGTGGGGTACTGGTTACTCTGACTCCAGCTCTGCTCTGCCCACCCCTCCCAAGGTAACTGGTATGGGCATAGCCAAGCGTGCCACTCACTAGGCTGGGTAGGCAGCCCCCAAATCTCCAAGGACCCCTGTGTGGCTCCTGCAAATGCAAACCCCAGCACTCAATCAAGTCTCAACAGCATTGTATTAAAATGATTTTTTTTTTCCAAAAAAGGTGCAAGTTATTGGATTGAACAATAAGGCTGTGCGCCCTGGGCAGCTGGGATCTGACTGCTGGCCCAGCGGTGCCCTGCTTCTGGGCCCCAAGGCATGAGGGAGAGCCCCAAAGCCTCCAGGCAGGAGGGGGAGGAAGGACGCAGCACACCACCATTCGGAGCAGCCAGAAGCCGGGAGAGGTGGGAGAAGCAGGTGGCACGGGGGCTTCCTTTCCAGTGGGATGTCACTCCATCTCTGCATTAACCGAACACGGTGTTGTGCTGTTGGGTCACCCGGATGAACGTCGCTCTCCTGCTGAGCTCTTTGAGTTTGGCGGCCCCCACGTAGGTGCAGGTCGACCTCAGTCCCCCAAGAATATCCAGAATAGTGTTTTCCACACCCCCTTTGTAAGGCACTTCCACCGTCTTGCCTTCAGAGGCTCTGGAAGAGAAAGGAGACGTTTCTTTTTCCTGGAGAGCCCATGCAGAACTGTTCCCAGCTGCAGCACTTTCAGCAGCCCTCCCCCCCCCCCCACTGCATCACTGCCAAGCAGACCAGGACGGCACTGCCAGGGGGATGCAGCCCTCCCCCACAAGGGCACCAGGAAGAAGTCTTGGTTGACATCACTTGGCACTGCAGACTCCCCGGTTCCACTTGGCGATGTTCTCAGCAGCCTGCACTCTGCCCCACAGAAACCAACACCACCTCTCCATATGCACCAGCTTCCAAATGACCAAGTGCCCACATGCCCACGGGGGAAAGACCTGGCGGGTTACCTCTTGGAACAGCCTCCTGCACCAACCCAGGGCTTTGCTCTACCAAGCACCAACTCTATGGTTGGACAGCCAGGAAGAGGAGATGGAGACGGACAAGGCAGGCCCTCCTAGGTCACATGGAAAGCCCCACCCATGCCAGAGCCCAGCCTGACAGCCCGTCTCCAGGGCAGCCAGCCACCAGCTCAGCTTCCTGTGCTCTTACAAGTCAGCACACCTACTGCCAGGGCACGGCGGGTCCCAGCTAAGAACCAGCCTAGTGAGGTGGCTTCAGAGCTTTGGCCCCCACAGCTGACGTTTTCAGAGGAGTATTCAGAAGCAAGTCTGGCAAGTGGCACCAGCAGTGAGCAACACCTAACTGTCCCAGAACCCTTGTCCCTGCCTTCCTGAGGTCACCACCTAACTCAGCTTGATTTCACAAGGCAGAATGGTGACAACAGTCCACCACACTTGCAGGGGCATCTTGAGAAGGAAGTCTCACTCCTTCTCTGGCCCTCCTCTGAGGCCAGGCAGATTCTAACCTGCATTCTAGAACTTTCCATGGTGGTTATTATGGAAGAAATATTCTCCCTGGAGAAACAGCATGTCTTGATCAGAAACTTGTTATGCAGAATTTCCAAAGGATATTTGATTATTGGCCGAACGTGCCAGACTCTCCTGGGGTGACACCCAGCTACCGAAACCATGGGCTGGATGAAGGGCGGGCCTAGGGACTGGCCTAGGTCACCAAACCAGGAAACCAGAGTCACCCATGCCACAGCTCCAGTCTGATAGCCCACGTGATCTAGGAGGGTGGTTCAGGTCTCAGCAATCACGTCCCTGCAGTGATTGCCCCTGTCTTCAGACACTTCCCGGACCTTTCAGAATTGGCTGGAAATTATTCAGATTCTCGTTCCTGCCTCTATACTAACTGGTAATGTCACATTTTACAAGTCATTCATGGTTGATGCTGGGGTCTGCTCATCTATAAAATGAAGGTGCCCTGCCTCCTGGGGACAGTGTGAGGATGGGATGGTTAATAACTGGGAAAGAACAGCAAAGCGTCCATTAACAGCAGTGCTATAATCAAATACGACATCAAAGTCAGAATCACTCCGTGACAAGATTGTGGTCACCAGACTGCAAAGGGACGGAGGCAGGTTCAACTACAGAACTCAGGCTTCCTGTGGGGTAAGATTTAATTCCTTCAGCACCTTCTTTCTTGTCAAAGATTTCACTCTTCTTCCTGGTGTTTCTGTGATGTGTGCTCCCTGCTGAAATTCCAAGCAGAGGTTTTTCTCCTGGCTCCTGGGCTTGCACATAGCCAATGCTAGCCTTCCCTATCCACGGCGTATGGCGTGTCTGGGGCCCCAAAACAGCTGCAACTGCTCAGCCACACGGCTGCACTTCATGTGGGCAAAGGGCAGACACCGCACAGGCCTAGGCTGGTGGCCACAGCTGCTGGTTGAGCAGTAAGCTTCTTGGCTGTAGGGCCAGGTTCATACAGAGACCCAACTGTGCAACCTCCTCCCCCAGCTCCCATGAGAAGCTAGGGGCCCCCAGAGGCCACCCCGGAAGGAGGGTGCCCCCGTTCCTCCTCTTGGCCCACCTGCCTTCCCCTACTAATAGAGTCCCCAGCCCCGTAAGAGGAAAATGCTTGGGAGGAGGAGATTGAAGTCAGTCCACCAGAACCCTACAAAGAACAGAACTCTGGTAGAACAGGCCCCAGAACCTGGAGGAGTTCTTCAGTTCCACCTCTAGTTGGGCAGAACCTTACAGGACGCATCTGAATCTCCTGCCCACCACATGGGCCGCAGGGAACGAAGCCTGGGCTTCCTGGAGAAAGGCCGTCCGCCTGTTCACAGCTGATGCCTCCCCAGGCCTCGAGACCACTGGCCCATCACTTGTCACTGGCTCTGGCTGGGTCAGGTGGGAGGGTGAGGCAGTTTATTGGGCAGTTGGGGTCTTAACGCACAGTTAAGAAGGAAGCGAGATGAAAGGCCAGGGGGCCTTGGGGGTCCTGGGTTTAAAAATATCAGCAGACAAGAGCAAGCTGGCTGCCTGGTGACACAGCCAAAGGGCCTGTGCCCGCCCAAGAGCTGCTGAGTGTGGTGGCATTCTTCAGGTGCGGCCTGGCCCCCACCCGTCTCCCCGGCAGCCAGAGATCTGCCAGCCCCATTCCTGCAGCCTCAACCGGTCTCGGCAGCGATGGCCGCGAGCAGCACAGTGAAGGCACTGTTGGAAAGCCAAGGCAGCCTCCCCTCCAGGCTGCTCCTTGCTCACCCTTGCCCCCCAAAATCCAGCCTGGCCTCAGGTGCTTCTGTTCTGCACTGCAAATGCCAGCTGGATAGGAGTTGGGGCTCTGTAAAAAAAAAAAAATGCCAGAGGTGCCTTCTAGGCCCTGCCCAGAGTCCCCCCACACAGATCTGCTGGCCAGGAGGCGAGGCAGGAGGCCTGGCCAGAGGCGCCAGGGCTGGACCCACCTGTATTCGGCGACACCCCCAGCGTGCTTCTTCATGGCCGTCTCGGAACTCATCCCGTAGAAGAGCTTGAGTTTCTGCCCGTTCCTCTCTATCACTTCCCCTGCACACTCGGTGTGGCCAGAGAACATCCCTCCCAGCATGACAAAATCTGCTCCAGCTCCTACACGCAGAGGTGGGGAAGAAGCGGGGGGGGTCAGAGAGGGTGAACTCTGCAAAGAGCCGGCTGCCCCCTAGCACTGGCCACATGCTCACCAAGCGCTCTGCCACTGAGCTACGGCCCCAGCCCTGACTCTAGAACGGTCCAAGTTCCTCCCCAGTGCACCTTCTCCCCACCTCCCCTGCTGCCCTGCAGGGGCACAGACACTGGGAGAAACAAACAGAGCCTGCAGAAGGTTTGTAGCCAATGTACTGGAACATGACTGATGGTTATTAATGACTGACACCTTCCAAACAGAGAAGGTGTTCTGTTAGATGCAAATAGACATCAAGAATCATGCACCATCTTAGAAAGCATGTCATCTAATCTCAATAAGGTAACTCCTCTACAATGACCCCAACAGGCACCTGGTGTCCTGAAGTTTTCTGTGCTTAGAGATGGGGAGCGGCCCTCAAAGCAGATTGTACCCCTCCACTGAAGACTGGGCATAGAGGAGAGAAACCCCCTGCATGAGTCCATAAAACTCTACCTGTCCCTCTATTGGATGAGCATTAGCCTTCGAGTTGATAATATGACACATGCGTCACCAAATGACATGAAATTTCCGGGGCAGCCACAGAGGAGACAGAGCTATTGAGGTTGGCTCTGTTTACCCCAGTGTGTGGCACAGGGGAGACACAAAATGACTAGCTATCAAGAAAATACAAGTTAGAATGAACCACATGGAAGATATAAAAATAGTTCCATTCCTCATCCTGTTCCTGGGTGACTATGCAAAGGACCCTTCATTAAATGTTCAGTGCCAGGGCTTGACAGTGTCCCCCGAAAGTTCATGTGTCGGCAACAAGCTCCAATTTCATCTGTTGAGGTATTCAGAGGTGGGACCTTTAGGGAGGGCATTAGGATTACATGAGGTCATGAGGGTGGGTCCCCTTTATGATATCTATGGCTTTACAAGAAGAGAGGCCTGAGCTAGCAGCTTACTTGCTCTCACCATGTGATGCCCCTTGCTATTACCAAGAAGGTGCTCCCTGTAAAGCAAGAAGCACATTCTTGGACATCCAGGCCTCCGGAACCATGAGCCAAATAAACTCCTATCCTTATAAACTACTCAGCCTTGGGTATTTTGTTACAGTAACAGGAAATGGACTAAAATATTAAACTGTACAACTTCTCCTGGGAGTAAGTCCTACTGAGGTTCGCATTGAGAACAGGACAAGACAACAGCAGGGTACAGATGTATTAAATAAGAAGGAAGCAAAACCCTCAGCAGGAGAAAAGAAAGAAAGCCTGAAAAGTGGCCCTGCCATCTTCCATCGAGTCATTTAAGAGGACCCTGGAGGGTGCATGGTTTCAGTCCCACTTGGCATTATTACAGAATGGCCTGCTCTCAGGGCTGGCCCTAGGCCTGGCACTCAGCCAGCAAGACACACATGGTCTACACAGCAGGTGGTTGTGCAGATCTCCCCAGGGCCCCAACCCCAAGGCCGGCTCCCCAGTCCTGCCAGGATTTCAACAGGACAGAGGGTAACGGGTATGGCCAGACCTCGTGATGGCTTCACCCCAGGAGTCTACAGAAGGAACACAGCAGACCCACTTGAAGCCCTGCTCGAAGCAGGCCCCAGTTATTTTCTAAACCCTGATAGCTTTTCCCACCCAGCATGTTCCCAGCGAGGCCCTGGAGTTCCACGGGCTACACAGTTTCTGCACAGGCAGCCACGCTCCTGGAAGGAAGGGGGAGGGAAAGACATGGGAAGGAACTGAGCAGAGGGCGAGGCGAAGGGCTGGGGCTGGTATCTACAAGGCACCTTTGTGACCAACAGTCACCTCGAGGTCTGTGCAGCTCGGGCTCTGCAGAGAGCACATGGCGGGCTGCGAAGGGAGCCCGAGATGGAACGCCCATCGGTACTAAGAATGTCCTTGGCTGGTGATCCTTACAGCAAGGCCCGAGGGCCATAGTCGGTGAAGGGCCCAGTCTGCCCTGCCCTGGTCATTCACCTCGGGGCTCTATATAGTCCTCCTGCAGCTGAGAGCTGTGATGAGAAAGGGACTAAGTTCTACTTTTGTGACATTCTTTGGGTTGCTACAAAATTGCTATGAAGACCACAAACCCTGCTTTGTTGTCACAAGCTAGTAGGGTTTTTGTTTAAAAAACAAAACAGAGCCAGGTGCCGTGGTGCACACCTGTAATCCCAGCTGCTTGGGAGGCGGAAGCAGGAGGACTGCAAGTTCAACCCAGCCTCAGCAACTCAGTGAGGCCCTGAACAACTCAGACTCCGTCTCTAAAAAAGGTTGGAGATGTGGCTCAGTGGTTAAACATCCTGGGTTCAATCCCAGGTAGCCCAAAAAACAAATTCCTAAGACCTTTCCTGATTTACACACACACACACACACACACATATATTTTGGGGGGGCTGTCATCAGAAAGGAGTGGCCGTGTGGGAGCCCTGCTTCTGCCTCCTGCTGGTACCCACAGCTCCCACTTGAGTTGGAGCCACCCCTCTGTGCAGTCAGCTCTGACTTCTGAATGCATTTGGCACAGATTAAGTAGTCAGCATCAGCACAGGGCTCCGCGGCCCTGTTTCACTGCCTTTCAGGGTGCTCAACCTCTTAGAGCTTTCTCAGGAAAAACCCAGGACACAGCCAGAGCCCTGCAGCATCATCCCTTCAATTGCAATGGACACTGCTGCCCCCTAGCGGGGAGCAGACGCTTTGGCCTCCAGGGAGAAGGTGCACTTGGGACTGTCCCTTCCCAGGGAATTCAGGTGGAGTGAAGAGAGCACGCCTGGGGCTTGGAGTGTGGTCAGTGGTAGAGTGCGTGCCTGACGTGGGTTCCATCCTCAGCGCCACAGAAAAGAAAAAGAGCCCAGGTTCCCAGAGTATTCTCAATCAAGAGCCCAAGGCGTCACTCACTCCTGGCTTGCAGAACGTCACTGCTAGATGCATTTCCTGAGCACCTGGCTTCCTCTGCCACAGACCAGAACCAGACCCGGGCCAGGACTTAGGCCAACTGGGAAAGGAACGCAGGGAGTGGAAACACTGGCAGGCACAGAACTTCCCCTCGGCCTCCTCATCCCAGTTCCCCCCTGCCGCACGGAGCACCTCCCTCCTCCCCACCAGGCCATCCTTACCAAAGGCTTTGGCGACGTCTCCTGGACAGGTGCAGCCTCCGTCCTTCACAGAGGAAAGAACAGGAGAGGACATGAGTATCAGTGGGAGCTGGCCCCTCCCCGGGATGATGAGGAGCTCACACCCCCGGGCTCAGCCAGGCACCTGGACCAACAACTCAAACTGTTGCTTTCTGGCCTAGCTGACTCCCCAAAACATCACATCTCCCGTTCCCCCAGCTGCCAAATACCCATGCGTTCCCCCCCCAGGCTCAGGTGCCCCTGGCTAGCCCTTTAGGTAGCACCCCAGCCACCCCTTCAGCCCCCATCACTGTCCGTCGGGAGCCACTGTTCTCTCCGTGCCTGGTGTGAGGCGAGATTTACTTAGTTCAAGGACTGCATTATTTTAAGAGCTATGGAAAGAACATGGAGTTCGTTCCTTTATCTCGGCAGCCACCTCATGCCTCTCATGTCCTTCCGGTACCAATCCCAGTTACCTGAAAATTCAACATCCACTCTCCACACCCACTCTGCCCGAACAGAGCACAGGTGTGGGGCTGGTTAGTCCCAGAGGGACACGGTTACCTTGGGCTCTGGGGGTTGTCTCCAGCCCAACCACATGGTACAAAATCCCCAGCATGCAGCAGAGCTCACTGTGTTTCCTTACAAACAAAGAAGACCCCAAAGGCCCAGGCTGCTGCCTGCTCCTCCCGGTGTGGCCTGGGTGAGTCTGGGGAGGAGAAGGGGACAGCAGTACCCTGGAGTGGCAGCCAGCCAGGCAGGAGGGGAGAAACAGCACACCAGTGACACAGTCCAAAGTCAGGGCGGGCTAGGAGAAACACCGAGGCCCCTGAGGGGCCACCTGTTCCCAAGAACACAGAGCACAGGCCACTTGGTGCTGCCCTGGGTGACAATCTGCAGGAGTGTGGCACCAGGATCAATGAAGAACTGGGATGGACCACTTTGCAAGGAGCATCTGGATCTGAGGACACAGGCCTCGGGGACTCTGGCTCTGCTATGGCTTATTAGGCCTGCCACTCAGAGAGCTGGAGTGCGACTCCATGTGTCACTGCCCCACAGTCCTGACCTGATGGGAGGGAGGTGTGAGGGTGCCACCAACTCTTCCCTCAACTCTTTTCCCTGTGTAGCCTCCCTGACCCCAGAGGGCCACAGGGCACAGAGGCACCACCAGTTCAGAGGCAGTCTCTGCACTCAAGGTGTCCGGCCCCAGCCCTCCCTGGGAGGCAGGGGCTGTGGTTCCAGACACCTGTCACCGCTTCCAGGGCCACAGGTACAACCTTAACCTGCCTGCCATTCATCCGTCAGTTCACTTTCTAGAGCTTTCTCAAAACCAGCTCTGCACCACCGGGTTTCAAACCACAGCCTCAAATGAACAAAATAAACTCATGCTCCCATTAGAACAGGTCTTGGAAATTCTGACTCGGAAACAGGGTATCTCTTGGGGCTCCTGAAAACCCCCAGCTGTGGTCAGTGATGAGGCCTGATGCAGATGTCCCGCATTACTGGGAGCATAAAAACCAGCCCCTCTCCCCAGGATGAGCCAAGAAGACTACAGTCAACTTGGCTGCATACTGTGCCGCAGAGAGGAAACCGGTTATGGCGTCACCTGCCCCCATTATGTGTATGCATCTATAAGATGCCCCCAAATGAGCCAGTCTGCAGTTAATCACATGCAATCCATCTCGACATGAAGCCTTAAGACAAAGCAGCCTGTGCCCCTCTGCCAAGCAAAGCATCCTTTCATGTTCCCAGGGAATGGGGCAGCAGGGCACCCTCTGAAATCTAAGACACACATTTACCTTCACAGAGGTGCGACTGCTGGAGAGTTTTTAAAAAGGGGGAGCAAGCTGGGTATGGCGGAGCATGTCTATAATCCTAGCAGCTGGGGAGGCTGAGGCAGGAAGATTGCAAATTCAAGACCAGACTCAGCAACTGAGCAAGGCTCTAAAGCAACTTAGTGAGACTCTGTCACAAAATATATATATATATAAAAAACAGAAGGACGGAAGGACGGGCTGGGGCTGGGGCTGGGGCTGGGGCTCAGTGGCTCAGCACTTCTGGGTTCAATCCCCAGAAACTGAAGTCTGCATTTTCTAAGTGAGGGCAAATCTGAGACTCAGAAAGACTGAGTGACTTTCCTAAGGCCACATAGCTATAAAAATGGAAACATAAGATTAGAACCAGCAGCTGTCTTATGACCGCATTTCTGATATATTTTTTTTTGGGGGGGGGGGGGGGGGTTCTGATCCTTATTTTTTAACGTTTATTTACATTTCTAGCTTTTCCTAGATTGAGCACGTTGGGGGGGACTTTTCAAGGCCTTAAAAAAGGATTTAATGACGTTGAGTAGGTCTTTCTAAATCACAGTGTGACAAGAAGAGATGAACTGTTCATTCCTGAATCTTTGCCTGCATGGGCGCGTCTTGAATTTTCCCACACTCTGGCCCCTGAAGCCTACGCGGGCCATAGTAAATAGAAACCCAGCTCCAGCCCCACCTGTTGGCCCCCTCTGGTGGGGCTTCCTGGGAACTGCAACAGCACAGATGTGCTCATTCAGCAATGAATGTGCGAAAGGAGACAGCTGGAAGGACACTGGACACAGTGACAGGATCCAAACATCTGCTGGGTTCGCTGCAGGTTCCAGACTCTTGGCAAATGGGAGAAGCCATCCTGCGAGGCTGCGTGATAGCAGGCAGGTGGGAGCAGCAGCTGCTGTGAGCCTGGTTGTGTGCAGCTGGTGGCAACTGGGAGCCAGTGCCGGGTCCACTCCTGGTCTTCTGGCTACAAACTGCACTCCTAACCCCATCGAGGAACTCTCCCACCAATTCTGGAAAAATGAATACCTTGGAAGCACTCAGGTAGGCTCCTAAGGGTCACCTTCCCACTGCAGGAGGCCCGCAGGCCTGGGCCATCAGCGCCCCCTACTGACATCAGCACATGAAAGCTGGCCCTAGAATCCGGCCAGCAAGGCCGAGTTTCCCCTAAGTAAGCCAAACCTCAGGACACACCAGAATGACCCAGAGGGCTTGTTCACACAGATGCTTGGGCCTCACTGCCTGACTCAGTAGGTCAGGCCTAGAGGGGGACCCAAGAAATCTGACGAGCCGTTAGTTGATGCCAACGCTGCTGGTCTGGGCATCACACTCAGAACTGAAGCAAGTTACCCACTAGGTCATGCTGTGCAGAGAAGCTCAAGTGATTTCCACGGGAGTCGGCTGGGGTACCCACAGAGCCTGCAGGACTCCCCACCCCAACCTGCTCAAGCTGTCCTGTGAACTGAGCAAGTCTGAAGTTTCCGGAAAGACATTAATCGTGGTGTCTCAGAAGAAGCTCAGCGTCAGACTTCATCCACTGGACTTCCACTCTTGGAAATGGTGGTCATTCGAGGAATACATGACATGGGGCCCAGGTTCTGATTAAGACTCTTGAAGGTGAGCATGATTACATAATAGGGACTTGCAACTCACAACACATGAGGCTCTGGGGTCCAAGACTAAAGAGCCTAATTCTCTGGGATGGGGTCCAGCGACGTCCTTATAAAAGTTCTCTGGTGGTCTTCATGCAGCCAGCCCCAGATGACACTGAAGCAAGCATCTGAGACCCACTGGCAGACTGGAGCATGGGAGTGCTGCTTGGTGGCTTCCATGACAAGTGCCCTGACTCAGCAGATATAGACTTGGGGTCTACATCAATCTTTTCCACACCAGATGTTCAATAAATGAGTTCTATATCTTCCCTGGGGAAAAATATGAGTGGAAAGCCTTAGAACTCTGTATTCACCAATAAAATGTTGGTCATTTATTCCAGTTTCTAGCACCCAGTAGGTGCTCAATAAATACTCACTGGATGAATGGGTGGAGAGATGAAGAAACTGGATGAGGAAGTAGAAGGAGCCCAGGCAACCCACACTACACTGAGAGCCCAGGGCCTGGAGCCTAGCGTGCATCTTAGCTGAGAGTCACGTGGTATGAGGCGGGGCCGGCAGGGTTCATGAGCTGTGATAAGTCTCAAATGAGACCCAAGCACAGAGGGGTTCTGACAGAGTAATACCACCTTGAGACCAGGATGAAAAGCCAGACCTAGACCTCAGCAAGCACTGAGACTAAGACAAAATCAATGAGGTAGCCTTCCACAGAGATGACCACATAATTTCTCATTTTTAAAAAATCACCTATCATGGGACTGCAAATTGGGGCAACCACTATGGAAAGCAGTTTGGAGATACCTCAGAAAACTTGGAATGGATCCACCATTTGACCCAGCTATCCCACTCCTCCGTCTACAGTCAAAGGACCTAAAATCAGCATACTATAGTAATGCAGCCACATCAATGTTCATAGCAGCTCAAGTCACAATAGTTAAACTGTGGAACCAACCTAGGTGCCCTTCAACAGATGAATGGACAAAGAAACTGTGGTGCATATACACAATGGAGTATTAGTTAGCCTTAAAGAAGAATGAAATTATGGCATTTGCAGGTAAATTGATGGGACTAGAGAATATCATGCAAAGTGAAATAAGCCAATCCTCAAAAAAACAAAAACTGAATTTTTTCTCTGATAAGTGGATGCTGATCCATAGTGGGGTGAGAGGATAAGGAAAGAATGAAGGAACTTTGGTTTGTGTAGAGGGGAGTGAGGGGGGGTGGGGTTCTGGGGATGGGAAAGACAGTAGAAAGAGACAGACATTATTATTACCCTACATACATGTATGATTACACTACTGGAGTAACTCTGAACCATGTATAGCCAGAGGAATAAGAAGTTGTACTCCGTTTGTGTACTATATGTCAAAAATGCATTCTACTTTAAAATAAATAATAAAAGAAAAAAATCACTTATCCATGATTTAATGTGGGAGGTTGGCCTTGCAACAGTAGAAGTGAAAGGTCTGAAGGTTTAATTTACTCGACATAAGTCAGCACTGTAATAGAAACACCAAAAACAGACCACACTTCCAATCTATAAGATATGTATGTGTATGCACAGGCACATAACATATACAGCCTGCCTTCCATATCTGTGAGTTCCATACTGTTGGATTTCACCAAACCCAGATGAAAAATATTTTTTAAAAACTGCATCTGTACTGACTGTGCAGATTTTTTTTTGGCATTAGTTCATAAACAATACAACTATTCATATTGTATTTACCTGTACCAGGTACTACAGTCATCCAGAGGTGGTTGATAGCCTATGGTGGGGTGTGTGAAGGTTATATGCAAATACTACACAATTCGACACAGGGACTTGGGCATCCATGGGCTGTGGCTTCCACAGGGGTGAGACCAATCCCCACAGACAGCAAGAGACGATCACGCACACCTGAGTACACGCCAAACACCCGAAGAGTGAAAGCCACAGCTCTGTCGGCACCCACCAGACCTCACACCCTGGCCTGCTCCGAGCATCTCATCTCACAAAACTACCTGCAGGGGGCTGAATGGTCGTCACTTGTGAAGGTGGACGAGGTACCCGAGAGTCAAAGGCAGGCTGTAAATCACACTTATTCCTTAGCCACCTTTAGGGGCACCATCCCTCCAGAAGCTTCTGATGGAATACTGCCTGCCTGTCCCCAACTCCCTCCTTCCCACATGTGCACTGAAGTCTGCTCTCGCCTGTCCCAGGGGGGCCACTGGCAGCATCCTGCGGAGGCACCCTCCCCAGGGCTCTGTGGTCCAGCCTCACTGGTCTGGGTCTGCTCCTCAGTCCCTTCCCAGGCTCCTGAGGGCAAGCTTGGGCTTCACCTCTCACTCCCACATGCTTCCACTCCCGGGGCTCCCGCGATGTAGGAGCTATTGGCTCTGATCAGCTGAGATGGGGTCTCCAACCATGAACCCAACCCTTAATGGATCTCCTCCCTGACGCCCCTTGAGCACTTTGAAACCTACATTCCAAAGTGAACCCTAGACCAACCCCAACCACTTCCCTTGAGTACTCAGGTGTGTGTAATCGTCAGTACTTATCCCAAGGAGCAGCTGGCCCCTCCTCTACCAGCTGCCAAGCGGCTGCTCCATTGCCAAGGCTTATTTAATTCTCCCCTGAACATCCCTTGGTTCTGCGGAGGGCTCCCAAGCCCCACTACTACCCTAGTGGAAGGCACATCAAATCCTGCCTGAAGCACACTGTCCCTTCTTCTTGGCTTGTTCCTTTCCCATCCTTCCCAGGCAACCCGTTGGATGTTTCTGCAAGACACATGGATCCACTGGGCACTCTCCTGTTCAGACCTCTTCAATAGCTCCCCAGCGCCCTTGGGAGAAGTCCCAATCCTTAACAGGCCACAGCATTCACAGCGGCCCTGAGGCTCATCTCCTGCCCCCCTGTCCTGCCCACTTCCAGCTCCCTCCTCTGATGGAGTGACTTTGAGGTCTTTCAGTCAGTCCCTACACTCTTCAGTGCCCTCCCCTCCCCTTCATCTGAAGCCTGCCCTCGGCACTTCCTACCACGCACTCTCGGAAGCCCACACCATGCATGCTGTAGCCTGTTGGGAGTCAAACTGCGTCCCCTTCAAGAGTCACGTTGCCATCCTAACCCCTAGAATGTGACCTTATTTGGGAACCGGGTCACTGAAGAGCAGTTAGTGAAGTCAAGGTCATCTTGGAGCAGGGTGGTCCCTAGGCCAAAAGGATCAGTCTCCTGATAAGAAGGAGGAATGGGCAGAGGCACCCAGGGAAAAGACCACATGGACACCGGAGCTGGGCTGCCAGAAGCCAAGGATAGCCAAGGACGTGGAGTGACAGTCAACAGTGGTCCACCTGGCGCCTTGAATACGGCCCTGCTGCTCTGCACTCAGGCCCATTTTTCTGCTTTCTATCCCCCCTCCCTAACCTGGGGGCAGAACAGGATTATCTTATTCCCAACCTAGGCAGAGCCATCCTCTTGGAGCACCCGCCACCACAGGAATCCAGTAAGGCAGACTTCAGGGGTGGCACCAGAAGATCAAATTAACAAGTGAATCACAACCAGGGAACAGCTGGTATGAATCACTCAGAGAGGTGCACACCTGGAATCCCAGCAGCTCGGGAGTCTGAGGCAGGAGGATCCTGAGTTCAAAGCCAACCTCAGCAAAAGCAGGCCCTAAGCAACTCAGTGAGACCCTGTCTCTAAATAAAATACAAAACAGGGCTGAGGAGGTGGCTCAGTGGTCGAGTGGCCCTGGGTTCAATCCCCAGCCCCTCTGTTCTCCCTGATGGGCAGAAGCACAGCCTCTGGGACAGCAGAACCCTGTGGTTCTCCTTTGCTGCAAAGCAACAAATCTTCTTTTTCCTCTTCCTCAAAACTGCATCCTCATTATTAAATGGGCATCCGGGATGAGGACCGAGCTTTGAGTGCTCAGTCCACACCTTGATCTGGGGAACTTCTGGCCTCTAGAACTGGGAGACATGCAATGTCATTGTTTGAGTCTGTGACACTTTGTTAAAAAACGTCCCTAGCAAAGGACCACACGCCCCTGCGTCCTCCAGGCTGCCTGCAGATCCCCATCTCACCCCCCACCCCCCCCCCCCGCCACCTCCTTAGTGACTGCAGGCTGGTGGCCACTGCAGAATACGCGGGCAGCCAGGTCTGTCTCTGCTGAACGTCACTCATGTAACCACAGGGCCCGTAAGGCAGCCAGCTCCCTCAGGGTCAGGGTCAGGGTCCTCCCTGCAGTCCCAACATGCTTCAGCCCCAACCCCAGCCTCGCCAGAGACTCACAGAGATGATGTGCCCCTTGAGGCCGTGGGCGGAGTCCGCACACTCGATCACTGCACTCAGCTGTGGGTAGCCCACCCCGGTCTTGGTGCGGGTGGTGCACACGGAACCTGCCGAGGAAGGGGGGACCCCAAGGAGACGTTACACGTGAGAGCACATGAGCGAAACGCGGCCCCTCACCTTCCCGCTGCCCTGCCCCAGTGACCGGTGGACTCTCCTCTGCAGGGGGTGCATGCTTGGGAGGGACGGGCTGACTGACCAGTGCAACAGAGGTGGCCATGCACCACCCCACCTGCCCATGCAGGCCCTGTGGCCCTTGTCACTGTCACCACCGATGTCCAGGATGTCGCCCTCCCCTCGATCTCCCGTGTGGCTGAGCACCAACCTCCCCCAGCCCACTCCCCCTCCTACCCCTTCCTGTCTCAAAGGACTTCCCAGAGTCCTCCCACAGCCTCTGCACCCTGAACCCCAAACCTCTGTCAACCTCCTAACCTCCCCAAGCCTCAAAAGTCCCTGCGCACCTGTGACAGAAACATAAAAGCACACGCCTTGCAGGTTGGGACCTGGGTCAGATGGCACAAGTTAAAAACGGCTTGGCCTGGATCTGACCTGCAGGGGACCCCTGAGGAAGGGGGGCCAGGACAGTGGTACCCCTCACTCCTCCTCAGCTCTGCCTCCATGAGACCCCTTGCCATCTCGCCGTCCACCTCCCACCTGAGCTGCACTGCCCCGAGTCCCCAACCAGCCTCCACCCTAAGTCAGCTTCCGTCTGGTGCCTACATCAGCTCTGCTGCCCACCTTCCTCCCCGACCTCTCCTACCATCAAGCCCCGTCCAGGCTGTGATCTCTGTCAGGTCTGGGAAACAGGTGTCCTTTCCCTATGTCCCTCCCAACAAGTGAGCACCCCTTCACGCTGTACCCAGATCAGCTAGATCAAGATCCACCTGCGACCCTCCTGGCTCACCTCATCTCTAGCTGCTACTTACCCCAGACTCAGTCCCTCTGACGGAGGGGGCAAGTTTCTCCCCCCCTTAGGGATTCTCTGTACACGCTGTTCTCTATACAGCCCCCTCCGCACCACCCCCTCTCCAGGCAAGCCTTTCTCATCTTCAGGCTTCATCTTAAATGTCAGTGCCCCAGGGAACTTGTTCACTGCAGGATTTCTTCCAAGCAGCAGCATTTAAATAATTATTTGTGCAAGCGTGTTGAGGATCTGTTTTTCCTCTGCCGGGTGGTAAACTCAGTGGATATTCACACTGCTGTCTATCCCACGCTGAGAAGAGAGCCTGGTACATAATAAGGGCACTATAAATAGCCACTGAGAGGATGCACAGGCCAGGAATGAGTGTGTCACCCACGTCCCCGTCTCCACTGCTCCGCCACCCACGCAGCTGCTCCTGGATGTCCATCTGGGGTGCTCTGGGGCCAGCGTAATGGCAGACCAGAGATACCATTCCTCCTGCTCAGAGCGTTGACTGCCCCCCGTGACGGCAACCACACTCTGAGACACTGGAATAGTCAAACTGAAGACCTCCCTGTGAGGTCTAAGGCCGGGTGTTTTATGGGTCCACAGGGCTGTTGTTCCTCTTTTCCTCCATGTCCTGGTCCCTCGAACACTCCCCTCTGCACCAGGCCAAGTCAAAACCCACCGGGGTCCTGGCCTCCAGCCGTACCCTCCACAGACTCCTCTCGTTGGCTTATGGTCCACTTCCTTTTATCATGGTGTCTTTTGGGTGGGAGGTGCTTTTAAACATCTTTGCTGTTTTTGTAGTCCCAATATGAAAATGTATGTCTTCTCTCCTGCTCTCTAATGTTAGCATCTGATTCATACAGACATACAGGGAAGACGTCACCAACACAGCAGCGGACTCAGCCTCCAGTATGGCACTCAGGAGGGCAGACACCAGTGGACCCAAGAAACCACGGCGCCACCCAGCATAAGGACCGAAGGCCTCCACCTCTCTCCTCCGTTCAAGATGCCAAAGGGTGGTCCTAGCAGAGAAGGCCTGAAGGGGAAATGGGCAAAATCTTGCCTGCCGGCTGCCAGGTGAGGAGCCAACCGTGACATGTGCCTGGTCACAGGTGACGTTCAAATGTGGATTCACAGCCACACGCCGATTTGCAACGTTCAAACATTCCTACTCATGAGCCATCCTTGTCCATTAACTGTCCTCTCCGTCCTCCCTTCCTCTTCAGAGCACTCAGCTTGTTAATGAACTCTGCGATCTTCTCTTCCACATGGATGCTCTGAAGCCAGGACACCATATTCCAACTTCATCTCTGCTCCTCTCAACGCCGTCTGGAGGCGTCACAATGAACTCAAGGACCTCTCTTCTCAGGAGCTCTGTCTGGAAGCTCAATGATGCTTCCAGAAGAGATGGGCTTTGAACCCATGGGTGAGTTCTTCCTGTGTTCCCATCTGGTCATTCCCAGGGCCCCCAAGCCCGTTCCTCCCCACAGACACCCTCCAGGGGCTTCAAGGTCTTACCTGGCCCAACTCCCACTTTAATGATATCTGCTCCCGAGAGAATGAGCTCCTCCACCATCTCTCCTGTCACCACGTTCCCTGCCTGGGACAGAAGGAACACAGCTCACAACAGTGAGGACTCCCGGCGGAAGGTGAATGAGGAGCCCCACACCTGAGCACGGGGTGGCCCGTGATCACCAGGCCACTGGGAGACAAAAGGAAAAAGAAAACACTAGCCCTGGATCCTGAGTCTGTTTAAGTCTGAAATTGGGGAGCCGGGGTCTTCCTTTGGTTCCTTTCATTACCTGGAAAAAGGTTTCCCGTATTCATTACCTGGAAACCACTCCTGAAGAAGCGTCCAGGGATCACTGATGCAGGAGGAGGACCTGAACTAGATTATTCAGAACCAGAAGAGATTGGAGGGTGCCTGGGTCAGGAATATTCTAAACACGTCAGCAATAAACAAAGCAAAAACTTCCAAACACATAAAATAAGCCACGAAACACATTCAAACTGACTGAAATTCTTATTGTGGTGCCTAGAATACTTCAGAGAAGCCGTGTGTAGAGGTGTACGCCTATGATCCCAGCAACTCTGGAGGCTGAGGCAGGAGGATCGCAAGTCGGAGACCAACCTGAGCTGAGTGAGACCCTGTCTCAAAATAAACTTTAAAAAAAGAGTTGGGACTGAAGCTCAGTAGTTTGACTTGCATGGATGAGGTCCTGGGTTCCAGGTGGGGAGACTAGGGGTGGGGGGGGGGGGGAGACAATGCTTCAGAGTTTACCAAATCTCTGAAGAATCTCCATGAACTCCAGAGAGCCAGGACTGCAAAATTCCCCATCTTCTCATAGTTGAGAAATTCCCTGAGTGTCCTTGCCCTAGGGTTGGGGTTCCCCTCTGGATATGGAAGGACAGATCAGTCCTTATGGATCACATAGCATTGGCATGTGCTCTGTTTACTGAGCACGAAGCTTTGGCCCTCAGAATAAACACACAAGCCAGGAAGTAGCAGAATCTATCAACCAGGAGGATGCATCTGGTTTGGAAACAGTTCAAGTTCTTTCGCTGCAGGAGTCTGGGAGCACAAAAATAGCCCTTTATATTACAACTCCTTGCCCTGTGGATCCTTCAGCTGGCACACAGGACCCTGGGCAAGATGCCCAGCTGAGTTTTTACGACTGCACAAAGGCCTATTTCACAAAGTGCATCCCTGTCCCCTCTGCTCACATGGACACCGAAGGGTCTCTTCACTGAATTGATTCTCCGGGGGGGGGGGGATTTTATTTTTTAACCTAGACAAAGTGACTAGCACTTCCTAGAAAAGGTTGCTAGAAGAAGGTGGTGAGGTGGGCACAAAGCTACTTAACTACAAACAGCAGCTGACAACGGAGGGTGACAGGAGGACTAGAAGGGGGTCAGAGTTGAAGGGCAGCTGCAAAGAACCCTTGAGTACCTGCAAAACGTCAAAGAAAAAACAAAAAGCTGCCCGTGTAGAAGTGAAATGCACACATGCAACAGCTCCAGCAACCAACACCAACCGGGCACAGAAAAATACACTATCCCGTCGAAGGGGCACCGTCCCCAACATAACAAGAGGAGAAAGGCTAACACCTCACAAGTACCAAAGGACGAGAACGAACTAATAGGAATTTTTTAAAAGTGGCTAACAAAACCTGGGGAAATGTTCAACTCCGCTAATCATCAAAGTGAAAATGCCGACGTGGTCCTACTTTTCACGTCGGTCCTCGGCAGTTGTGAGCATGAATGCTCAAGTCAACGCATCAGTAGATCTGCTGGAGGAAAGTCTGTTTGGGTCCAAGTTTTCCTCAAAAGCAATTTGTCCATAGAGAAGAAACGGGACGATGCACACATCTTTTGATCTAGTAATTCTCCTTTTAAGATCCTCTCCCAAGGAAATCATCAATGAGGACAGAGGTTTAACTGTAAAGACTATCATGTGTCACAGTGCAAAACTGCAAATACAGTCCCCAAAATGGGAACGGTTCAACAATTAGTGGCCCACTCACGTGATGGTTGAGACTTCTTTGTTTTGGGGCACAGAGCTGGAGATCCCATCCGGGCCTCTTGTTCATGCTAGGCAGGCGCTGTCCCACTGAGTCACACCCCAGCCCCGTGGGATGCTTTTAAGAACAGTTTAATGGCATGAGGAATGCTTAAATAGTGTAGGGGAATGCAAGATCTCAACTTTGTTTATATTTTTCAGATGTACGTGTATATGAAAAAAACAAAACAAAACACCAAGGTGCTCAACCACCTGGGTGAAGAGACTGTCTGAATTCTATGAATTCTCTCCTGCTAAACTTGTCTGGATTTTATACTAGAAGCGCATATTTTTTTAACGGGGAGTTGGGGGTGGGGTTGAACTGTTTTCTGTAGCACAAGGAAAAGCCTGAACTCTGGTGATCAGGAGCCTGACAAGAGTGCAGCTCCTGTTCTTCCTCGCTGGGCGACTCACTAGGACAACACCTCCAGGAAGCAACTCCAACGGCCGCCATTGTGTTTTCAACGTGGATTTGTTCCCCCCCCCCCCCCCCGGGGTACCACCTGCAGACCATTTTATTTCCTTCTTCAGACAAAATAACTCAGCTCGCAATAGACGGACCCGGTCCCACCAGGTAAGGGCAGTGAGTTTACCCAGGTGAGGAAGGCCGGCCCTGGTTCTGTAACCAAGAGCTCCCGCAGTGTCGTCCCCTCTGCTCAGCCACCACGTGGCTCTGTGGTCAGGACACAGTCACTGAGGCCAAGTGGAAAACCCCAAAGTGACCATGAAGTGCCTCTAGTGTGAGCCACAACATAACAGTCGAACACCGGGGACCAGGGGGGGACCAGGGGGTTGTACGGACAGACGGGCAAAGCCGTCTACTCAAGTTTGAAACCAAGAAGAGCAAAACCGGGGAACAGAGGACAAGACCAGAGCAGAAATGAGAATGGTGTCACAGCAGTTGGGCTCTGGTGACGTCCCTGGCCTCTGGTCTGGGCATGGTGTGAGGCAGCGGAGCGGGGAGGGGCTGGCCAGGGAGATTGAGGAGCTGGCCTTAACTTGGCAGGGACACTTCCTGGCACGGCGGACACAGGCCGTCAGCACTCAGGGTGCCGGGGTCTGCCCGCAGCTGCACGGCAGGCCGCTCCTCTCCTGGCAGCCAGGACGGAAGATGCACTGTGGGGCTCCTCGCAGCAGGCACAGGGGCTCTGCCAGGTCCCCCTCGCCCAGGGAGGTCAGGCAGTGCCCGGGCTCCCCCCCACTCTGGATGGAGCAGCCACTCCTCTGCGTCAGAGATGTGTGAGGACCAGGGGAAAGACACGGGGTGACAAGGCTTGCCGCGGTCTGAGAGTTTGTCTCTCTCCAGACTTCACGTGTTGAAACCCTCCCCCCAAGTGGGGGTGCGAAGGCAAGGCCTTGAGGGCCATCAGGTTACGGGGAAGACCCTCTGGGATGAAGCCATGCAGGTAGATACACGACAAGAGAGCCCAGGAGTCCTCACCCCTCCACTACACGAAGACACAGTGACGAGACCACGCCTGTCAACCAGGCTCCTGCCAGGCACAAATCGGCCTCCGGAACTGTGCGGAATAGACTTACGACATCCATGAGCTACCAGTTCGTGGTATCTCGTTCGAGTGACCCAAAGAGACCAAAATCCTCTGTGCAAAAACAAAACTCAAAAACTGCTCGCTCCCATTTTTCCAGCTTCCTTTTAGACCCACACCCATGGCAAACACAATCCAAAAAGACCCCCAGGTACAACACCAGATCTCCCTTTTCCTGGGTAGTTTGGAGCAAGTTCCTTTAACTCTGAGTCTCGGTCGATCCTGCTATAGAACGGGGCCCGGTGTCCCCACATGCGGTTATTACAAGGTTCACAAAGAAGCCTGTCCGATTCTCAGCACAGCGCCCAGCAATGCCCCGTAAATGTCAGTCCCTCCCTGTGACAGTGATTTCTGTTGTTACTCTTCTCACAACTTTTGAGGTTTGAGTGAGTGATATCTGTGATCACATTCACCATTTTCAATATATGGCCAGTATTAAATCCATTCACACTGTAACGCAACCGTTGTTCATCTCCAGAAGTTTCCACCACCCAAATTCATCATTGTCCACCCTGGGCACTGGCTCGCCCTGTGCCAAGAGAAGTCCTTTCCACGGAATGAGAAAAGGGAGGGGATTGGGCCTACAGGTAGCAGTAGGGCACCCCCAAGGTGAGGCGGGTGAGGACCGCCTCAGGCCCTCTCCCATCCCTGTGCACAGCACCGCTCTGGCTGCCTGTGCAGTCCAGGTGACCGCCGCCCTTGAGAAAACAGAGCTGAGATGATTATGTGTTTCCCAGAGACGCGCACCCCCTGGACCTCTGAGGCCCTTGGTAGCTTTCAGTGGGTTCCAGAAAGAGAATGAAAACAGAAAACCCGTGGGCTGGGCCTGGGGCTCAGCTGTGGAGCACTTGTCTTGCATGTGTGAGGCCCGGGGTTCCATCCTCAGCACCCCATAAAGATGAATAAAATAAAGGCATGGTGTCCATCTATAACTAAATATATATATATATATATATATTAAAACAAACCCAGAAAACCCAGGGAGCACGGCCTGAGAGGTGCTGTCAGCTGTAACACACTGACTGGCAAAGCCACTGGGTCCATGCAAGGAAGTGTCCCCCTCTCTGGGTAGAGGTGTGGGGCATGTGGCTTGAGCCCTGTCTCATGATGATAGGTGGAGAGAGAAGGCAGCTGACTGAGCCAGGCTCCTGTGTAGAAATGCCCAGGCTGGGCCGGCCTCTGGTCTAACAGGAACGGGAGTGGCCTTAGGTCTCCCAGGCCACAACAAGCCATCTGCACTGAAGCCCTCCCCAGAGCCCACAGCGGTACCTCCATGTTTGGCTGTGATCTGGCATAACTGCAAGATCGCAGGTCACCTGGCCCTGAAAGCCAGGCCCACCTTTCATAGAACCCCTGGCTTCTGTGAGACTAGGTTTCACATCAATAGAAGTGAGTGGCATCATGCCCACTCTAAGAGGTGGTATTAAAATAGAAATGGGCTGGGCTGGGGCTCAGGGGTGAAGCACCGGCTTAGCAGGAGTGAGGCCCCATGTTCAATCCCCAGCACCAACAACTAACCCAAACCCAAATAATGAAAATACAAAAGAAGTGCCTGATCCAGTTACTGCCGCTTCCCACAGTACCTAGAACGCACCCAAGAAAACGGGGTTCTTTGTCCTGTCTGAAAGCCACAGGCCCATGCCTTAACACTGCTACAGTCTCCCAACAGCCAGCCCCTACACAGGGACTCTTTTCTGCCAAAGATGCTGCTGAAAAGTCCCCACCTCTGGCAAGGCTCACCTGAGGGGCACGGCAAGAAAAACCCGGGCAGTGAGACCATCCCAGGTCATGACACAGAGGCGTGGCCAGCTCTGGCCAGACTGCTCCTGAGCTCGCCTTCTACTGGGCCTGGTATTAACGCTCAGGACCCCACCCAGCACTTTTCAGCTCCAAAACCCTGGGGAATGTGAATGCGCGCTCAGTCCTCACAGTGCCTCCAAAAGCCGCAGGGAAATCACGTGTGCAAAACCACAAGAGCCAGGGGCAAGAGTGCTGGGGCCTCTGAGTGATTCAAAGATTTCAGGGGTCAGCGGAGGTGAAGAATGGCTCAGCAACCAACACCTACCTCTGCCAATGTTCCTGTCCATTGCTGAGGAAACCAACAAGGGCAAGCAGAACACCTCCAGGGCCAGCCAACAGGTGCTGGATGGAGAGGCCCCCAGGTAGGAGGCCACCCAGAGGGCTGTGGGAACTCTGCGTCCACCCTGCACCACCCCCTTAGCAACCCCAGACCCTGCACTGGCCACAGTACCCTTTCCCTGCCCCGCCTGGCCACGCTCCTTCCTGCTGGTCCCGTTGCTCCTGGTCTCTGTCCCTGAAGGGTGGCACACAGGCCCGCTGGACTATGCAGCGGTCACCTACCTCCCTTCTCAGCAAGGCCAGCTCTTGGAGCAGCAGGAGCGAGGTCTGGGGAGCCACCATGCAGAGAAGCGAGGCTCACGTCCCCACCCTTCTCAACACAATCCCCAGCCTCTCCCGGCCAGAGGTGATCCTCAGAGCACATGCCCTGGGTAGACTCCCTGCTGACAAGCACCTGCTGGGAAATGCCGCTCTGCCTACAAACAGCATCCCCTGGGGGACCCCAGCATCCTCCAGCCACCAGCACCCTCACACGAGAGGATAGAGAGATCTGGACACACACAATGCCCCCAGGCCACTCGGCTCCTGTGCCTACCCTGACTGCAGAAGTGCTGCCTCTGAACGTCTGTGTCCTCCCCAACTTCATCTCTTGACACCTAGTCCCCATATTGGGAAGTGGCACCTTTGAGAGGCGACCAGGTCATAAGGGCACAGTGGCCCAAATGGACTAAGGGGAGCCAATAAGTAATTTTAATGGTGTTGAAACCAGCTACAAAGGATAGAGACAGGAAAAGAGCAAGGGAGGCAGCTGGGCAAGAGTATTAAGCTCAGCCCCAGAAACCATGGAGTACTATGCAGCTGAGAAAACACCCTGGGAAATCTCAAATGCACCATCGAGGAAAAGCAGATTCAAAAGATATAGAGATGAACACTTAAGTTTCAAAACCAGGCAAAATCTAAGTGTCATTTAGGACTGCAGAAGTAAGTGGCAAACCACAAAGAAGGAAGAGAGGACCACAGTCGAGATGGGTGTTTCACTTGAGGCGGGAAGTCAAGGGCTCCTGCGTACAGGTGAGCTGACGTGTGCTTATTTTATGATTATTTATTAAACCTCCATGTTTTATATGCTCTTCTGAATCTCATATTTCAATTTATAAAGTTACTGAAGACATAAAGAGGAGCTACTAAATCACCTGTGTAATTTCTGATTAGTGCTTCAAAACCAACCTGGGGCCCTGATGTCAGGAGATGGAGAGAGTGGCTTCCCGTGTCCTAATGAATCCCTGCGTCTCCAGAGCAACTAAGAGGAGAGGCCAGGGAGCAGAGTGGACCCAGAGCCTCAGACAAGTCGGTCAATAGCAGCCCCCTCTCCTCCTCTCAGGAAGGAATAAACAGGAGGCCTCCTCCACAAAGACCTGTGGGGTCTGTGGCCAGCCTGGGCAGGGCTTAGAGAACTAAGTTCCATAATGAATGCCGTTTATGGGCCACCAGGTCCAGGCAAGGCTGGGGCTCCTGTTGTTCTGGAAGTCAACTTCCAGTTCCTTCTTTAAAATGTCCCAGGAAAAAGCTACCACAGGGGGGTGTAGACAGAGAAACCCAGTGGGACCTCACGACCAGGGGCAGGAGCGATGCCTTCCACTGCCAGCCCAGAGGTCAACCTGTGTGACCTGGGGACCAGGAGGCTGGGAACTGTCCTGGGGAAGGTTAAGGAGGACAAGGGCATGTCCAGCACACCTCAACGGGCAGCTGGCATGGCCTTCAGACTTATGTTGATGTGTTTTCTGAAAATTCTCAAAACCAAGAACAAATCAGAGTTTAAGATTCCTGATCTGCAGTACATGTGGGATGACCCTTTCTGTCTTTGCAGAGATCTTACAAAGACGACAGGAGATTGACATGAACCTCCTGAAACCAGCAGGTACTTATAAAGAAAAAAACACACACACAAACACGCACCTTTTTCTTACTCCTCATATTTGACACAGTAGAGAACACTTCAGGGAACCGTCCCCCACACACACCAAGCAACTGTCCCACCAGGCACCCTACCATTCAACTCGGTTCTGACCTCAGGTGCCAGTCACAAGGAGGTTACCCACAAATCCTGTACCAACTGGCAGCTCCCATGATCCCCTTCCCAAGGCCTCTGCTGGAGCTGCTCAGACCCATGGAAACTTTGGACAAGGAAGCTCAGACTTACTGGTTTAGGATATTGGTCATGGCTACCGTAAAGGCTGCGATGAAGAGACACCCAGGGGAGGTCCTAGGATCTCAGGTCCAAGACCAAATCTTACAACAAAAGAGTCTCCAGGCCCCTCACCTAGAGGACTGCTGAGGAGTTCCGTCTCAGAAGCAGACTCCTCATTATTTCACAGAATTGAACCCACTTCACTATTTTAAAAGTGAGCTGTGCTGTCACGCAGGGTAAGAAGAGTTTTGCCACTTCCTGCCCACGCCTCCCTGGCCCAGCTGCCAGCCTCAGCTCAGTTCTTACCTCTTTCTCCTGGTGAGCTGGAAGAGCATAAAAAGACTTAAGGATCCTCAGAAGTCCCTTCACAGAAGACTAAACTCCATTAACCAATAATTTGGGCCCCCCAACTTCCTTGCCCTGATGAAATGTGCGGAGAAATCAGGCTCCGAACCCAACAAAGCTGAGGGCAGGTGAAACACCCAGCAGACGACCTGTAATCACTGCGGAAATTGAGACCAAGGAAGAATAACTATGACACAGATTTTCCCAAAGGCCCAACTCTAGAGATTTCAACTTCCTGTTTTCTGCAAATCCACCATTCCCAGAAGTCACAAATACGCATTCTAACTAGTGAGGGTGCTAGTGATGGGGACAGTCAGGAAATGGGTCCCATGTGATGAAACAACACGCCCATCGGCCGGCCACGATTGTTGCACGAGGTTCCCGTTGTGGAGTCCAGTGCTCACGGCAGAGTCGGGGTGCAGTGCGGAGGACACAACCCTGCTGAGCTGAAACCCTGTTATGTGTTTCCTACTTTAACACATGCTCTTTGCTGAAGGTGGCAAGACCCTTTTTCAAAGGCCTCATCTGGTAAGAAACACAGAATGATATTTAGCAAAAATAAGAAAGTGGGGTTTTATTTTTATAGTGGAAAGTGAGTTTCCAGATCTTCCAAGGTGGCTACCTTTCCTTTATGGGGGCTTGGAGGCAGAGGTGTGCAGAGGGGTGGCAGTATTACCACTGCCCACATCCTCAGCCCTTTGTATTTATTTGGAGACAGGGCCTCACTAAGTCACTGAGGCTGGCCTTGAACTTGTGATCCTCCTGCTCAGCCTCTCGAGTTGCTGGGATTATAGGTGTGCACCACCACACCCAGCTGCCTCTCCTTTTCCTAATGATTCCAAACTAGTCTTTTAATAAGAGGCTATGACAAGAACGCAGGTCCCCCCCACACTGAATCCCTCTGCCTCCTCACCTTGAAATATCCCACTGTACTTACCATGATGGTGTGCTCGGGAAACCTGGCCCGGACCAGTTTCACGAACTCCACAAAGTGTTCGGAATAGCCGTTGGCCACATCCAGGCAGATGAACTTCACCTGCGGCACGGCTTCCAGGATGCTGCTCATCTTTTCCAGATCATTCTGTCCACTGCCCGAACTCACAGCCATGTGCTGTACCAAGATGAAGCAAGAATGTCGGCATGAGCAGGAGCATTCCCGGCAGACCCCCCTGCCTCCTCCCAGGTGGCTTCTCTGGGGACAAAAAGGCATCCCTGGCAGGTTCCACCTAATCGAATCACAGCAGGTCTGCTCAGGAGACAGAGGAGAGCTGTGCCCCTAGATGAGCTCAACTTCGATCATCATCTTTTCTACCTTGGCATTGCACATATCCTCAAACCTGGGCCTCAGCCACTAAAACTTTCCAGTAAACAGATTCTTAAATATGCAGGAGATATTGTCCTTGGCTTTCATTGCATTTTCTCAAGATTCCTGTGTGGAACTATAAACAGTGGAGCCACCCGTACAAACATATCATGGCACAGAAACTCGACAGGTAAGAGGGAGGAACTTTCCAGCAAGAACAAAGTGGGGACACTCAACCTGGAAGAGGGACTTAGAGATGCTGCCTCTGCTAACCGCAGTGACTTCACTTGGGCCTGCAGATGTCCTATGGGAAACAGAAATAGGACAAAGCTTGGCGACTCTGCCTCCATTTTGTGACCTGTCCTCTTTATTAGCTTCGACCCCCGGTCAGGCCCCTGCCCAGCTCTGCGCACAGACATGTTAATCACTGCGGCAGTGCTCACCTAAAAACCAGTACTAGGAGGTTTCCTAGCCTCACATTTACCTGGCCTATCTCATCCCCCTCCAAGACTGAGTTTCAGGGACATTTGACTGTCAGCCTCTACAGCATCCAACTCCTGGAGTGGCACCTAGAACTTCTCATTGTCCTACAACTTCCAAGAGCTCACCCCATAGGACTGTTCCCCTGAAGGCAGGGACAATCACCTCATGGGAACTAAACTGCCCCCTTCAGGATCACAGTGTGATGGACAAACACCCTGAATGACAAGTGGAAATTGCCCCTCAAGCCACAAGGCCTTCCTGGGAGCCACCTTGCAGAACCAGAAGTAGAGACGGATCAACCTGACACCTGGATGGAGACCACCCCATGCGCAGACCTCACGCCTCCCTAATGAAACCCGAAGCTGCAGGCAGCACCGACCCCAGGCTGAGATGCTGGGTCTCACTGTGCCTTCCCAAGGTGGCCCAGTTGAGGGGAGTGCTTTGCCTGCTCTCCCTTTTACTTTTCTGGTTTTGCTTTTTGGGGAAAGTGACCATGCTCGGTTTGCTGGGACCTCTGGAGTCAAGCCTCTGGCCTAGGGCTCCAGTCTCTGAAAACATACAGGTAACAACTGTCTACAGAGCATGAACACTGTATCAGGCATGCCATCTAGAGATGGGTTAATGGTGCAAGCAGGTCTGCGGCCACAGCCCGAGCACATCTGGTCTCATCTCAAGTGTGCAGGAGGATGTGCCTAGTTTATATGCAAATATACGGAAGTACTTGAGCATTCGAGAAGTTTGGTGTCTGCGGAGTGGTCCTAGAACCAGTCCCCCACACACAGCCAGGGACAATGGTTTAATTCATTTGAATACAGTTCAGCAAAAAAATGAAGGACTTGCTGTTGATCAAAATGATTTCCTCTCCAAAACCACCTTCTCAATAATGAAGCCCACCCCTAACTAAAGGAGGGTGGGAGCAGCAGCAGAAAGAGAGACCCCCCCCCCACCAGGCAGTTAATGTCCCAAATCCTCAAATCACAAATCACAAGTGAGCTGACTGTGGGGAGGGAGAACTGTCACCCTAGGAGACCTCCCTGCTGAATCTGAGTCAAACCACCTGTAGGTTCAGGAAGGACAGGAGTGCTACCCTAGGGATTTCTACTGTTGTTTTAAAATTATCCTTTTTTTTCCTGGACACTTTTCTGAGATGGGACATACCCAGACTGCACAATTCCATGACTTTTGGCAAACTCAGAGTTGTGTGTTGACCACAACCAATTATTTTTTACTTTATTTTTTTTTTAGTTATAGATGAACACAATTATTTTATTATTTTTATGTAGTGCTGAGGATCGAACCCAGGGCCTCACACATGCCAGGCAAGTACTCACCACTGACCTGCAACCCCAGCCTCATGGCAACCAATTTTAAAACATTTTCATGATTCCCAAAAAGAAACTCCCACACTTCTTAACCATCACCCCTCTTTGCCTCCCACTTCCTCTAATCCATTTTATGTTTACAGATTTCCCATTCTGGACAATTCATGCTAACAGAATCACTTTGCATCTGGCTTTTTGACTTAGCAAAACATTCAAGCTTCATCCACAGGGCCACATGAACCAGCCCATTATTCCTTCTTGTGGCTGAATAATACCATCTGCTATCACGTGGCTACATCCTAATTTGTTTACCCCTCCAGCTACTGATGGATATTTGGGCTCTTTCTGCTTTGAAGCTACTAGAAATAATGCTCCTATGAAAACACATCAACAAGTTTCTGTGTGTGTGTGTGTCTTCACGTGTGCTAGATCCACACCTAGAAACAACTGCCAGGTCCTGCAGTAACTCTTAAGTTTCACCTTTTGAGAATCTGCCAGACTGTTTTCCAAAGCATCTCGCGTTCCTGCCAGCGCCATAGGGTTCCAACTTTTCCCTGACCTCAATGGCACTTCTTATCTGATGAGAGCTGTTCCAGCAGGCATACTGCTCACTGAACTCCAAAACGACTTGCTGCAATAGAGGGTTTTACACGGGCTGGGTCTACCCTGAAACACCTGGCCGGAAGCACAGGTCTCCCTGGGCACTGGTGAGAAAACACTTCACCTCTCCAGGGAGAGCAGATAAACCCTAGTACTGGCATAAGGTGCCACAGAGCAGGTGGAATCAGCAAGCCCTTGGAGTGACACAGAGCCGGGAATCACCACCTCAGTGCATCTGACTGCTGATTCACAGGCTTCTGACAACTCTCTCTTCCCAGAGGTACTTGGAGACAAACCCTAGCAGAGTCTTACCTGAAGACATTCCGGGTGCTTTGAGGCAAAAACCTTCCACTCTTCCAGGGTGTAATGCTTATGAACCGCTGTAAACATGGAGTGCTAGGAAACAAGATGGTGACAATGACATTAGGATGAGCAGCCACAGGAGCCCTCTCCCCTGGAGCAGCACCTAGATGTCTCCAGCCATTTGCCTGTGCCTTCCTGGAACAGCAGGCTCTGCAGGAAATCAGCCAGATGAGTCTCCCCCCACCCCCACCCCAAGCAGGAGCAATGGTCTCATGAGAACCAAGTGCCTCCTTCCAGGACTGCGGGTCTGATGGATGAACATCCTGCAGAGTGGAGGCTGCCCCCCATCAAGCAATAAGGGCCTCCCAAAACCAGAACCAAGAATGACCAACCAGACCTCAGGCTCTCCCAGACTGCCTCATGACACTGCCCTCTTACCCGGATCCCTTCCTCACTTAAACCTCAGGCCTCTGTCAACACCCCTAGACAGGCTGACATTGGACCTATTTTGCTTTCTCAATACGGCCATATAGATGAAAAGTTCATTTCCTGCTTTTCACCATGACTTTTTATGTTTGTTTTTTGGGGTGAGTGGCCAGACCTGATTTTGGGGGGTCCTCAGAGTAGGCCCTCTGATGTGGGACTCCAGTAACAGCTTTTTCTTGTGTTCACTCTTTGCTAACTGCTTCTTGTTAAAAGCTACACCCATCGGACAGTTGACATGCTTAAGGGAGGGAATTACACAAACTGTATAACCCTAAATCTCTGCCTCTCGACCCAGCCTTTACTATCATGTGCCAGTGCTTGGCAGGCATTATTTCATTTCCTTCTCAGAATAAGTTTGAACAGTATTATTAGCTTCGTGATCTCATTCATGGAGAAACTTTCATGCTGCAAATGGGGAGGACACAGCAAGTTTTTAATGGACTAATAATAATTTGATACGTGAATTAACCAAGAAATTTATTATTCCCTGATTCTCTTCATCTTTCCACTATGTTAGTTAGCTTTCTGTGGCTATGAGAAGACACTTGAGACAGTTAACTTATAAGGAGAAAATGTTTATTTGGGTTGACAGTGTTGGAGGTTCCAGTCCACGAACAATGGGCTCCACTGTTTGGAACTGTGGTGAGGCAGCACCTTATGGTAGGAGCAAAACCACTTACCTCATCACAAGCCAGAGAGCAAAAGGGAATGAGGAAGAGGCTGCATCCCACAATCCCCTTCTTTTTTTTTTTTCATACATTATATTTTTACAAGAATATTTTATTTTATTATTTTTTTTAATTTTTTATTGTGGGTTGTTCAAAATATTACAAATTTCTTGACATATCATATTCCACACTTTGATTCAAGTGGGTTATGAACTCCCACCTTCACCCCATACACAGATTGCAGAATCACATCAGTTACACATCCATTGATTTACATATTGCCATACTAGTGTCTGTTGTGCTCCGCTGCCTTTCCCATCCTCCACCCTCCCCCCTCCCCACCTCTCCCCTCCCCTCCCCTCCTCTCTCTCTACCCCCTCCACTGTATAACCCTGAGGGTCTCCTTCCATTACCATGCAATTTCCCTTCTCTCTCCCTTTCCCTCCCACCTCTCATCCCTGTTAAATGTTAATCTTCTTCTCCTGCTCTTCGTCCCTACTCTGATCTTAGTTACTCTCCTTATATCAAAGAAGACATTTGGCATTTGTTTTTTAGGGATTGGCTAGCTTCACTTAGCATAATCTGCTCTAATGCCATCCATTTCCCTGCAAATTCTATGATTTTGTCATTTTTTAATGCAGAGTAATACTCCATTGTGTATAAATGCCACATTTTTTTTATCCATTCGTCTATTGAAGGGCATCTAGGTTGGTTCCACAGTCTTGCTATTGTGAACTGTACTGCTATGAACATTGATGTAGCAGTGTCCCTGTAGCATGCTCTTTTTAGGTCTTTAGGGAATAGACCAAGAAGGGGAATAGCTGGGTCAAATGGTGGCTCCATTCCCAGCTTTCCAAGAAATCTCCATACTGCTTTCCAAATTGGCTGCACCAATTTGCAGTCCCACCAGCAATGTACAAGTGTACCCTTTTCCCCACATCCTCGCCAGCACTTGTTGTTGTTTGACTTCATAATGGCTGCCAATCTTACTGGAGTGAGATGGTATCTTAGGGTGGTTTTGATTTGCATTTCTCTGACAGCTAGAGATGGTGAGCATTTTTTCATGTACTTGTTGATTGACTGTATGTCCTCCTCTGAGAAGTGTCTGTTCAGGTCCTTGGCCCATTTGTTGATTGGGTTGTTTGTTCTCTTATTGTCTAATTTTTTGAGTTCTTTGTATACTCTGGATATTAGGGCTCTATCTGAAGTGTGAGGAGTAAAGATTTGTTCCCAGGGTGTAGGCTCCCTATTTACCTCTCTTATTGTTTCTTTTGCTGAGAAAAAACTTTTTAGTTTGAGTAAGTCCCATTTGTTGATTCTAGTTATTAACTTTTGTGCTATGGGTGTCCTATTGAGGAATTTGGAGCCCGACCCCACAGTATGTAGATCGTAGCCAACTTTTTCTTCTATCAGACGGCGTGTCTCTGATTTGATATCAAGCTCCTTGATCCATTTTGAATTCACTTTTGTGCATGGCGAGAGAAAGGGATTCAGTTTCATTTTGTTGCATATGGATTTCCAGTTTTCCCAGCACCATTTGTTGAAGATGCTATCCTTCCTCCATTGCATGCTTTTAGCCCCTTTATCAAATATAAGATAGTTGTAGTTTTGTGGATTGGTTTCTGTGTCCTCTATTCTGTACCATCCACAATCCCCTTCTAAGGCAAGCCCCCAAGGACATACTGACCTCCACCTAGGGCCCCCTCCCACCCCCTATAAAGGCTCCAACATCATCTAGTAAAGCACGTCTTTGGGGGCCACTTATCCAAACCATAGCATACACTAATAGGTTGTTCATTAATAGCAGTGACTAATGACAGCAGAGAAGGGAAGGATGGAGAGAAAAAAAATGCCACATCCTTGTAGCAATTAATTTATTAGCCTCTGGCCCAAAGCTCCCTGGGGACTGAGAACTGACAGAGGATACAACAGGTCATACAGTCAGATGGACAACCCCCTGCTCTGTTTTTTGAGCTCATAATTTGTTTGAGAATCCTTTCACTCTAATCACTGCCTAATCATGAGTCCCCGGCGCCTCCTGCTGCTAGACTTGCTGCCCACCGTGAGAAGCTCTGTCGACTAATTGGATTTACCCTTGCACTTGGCAGGCTTGATGGACAGAAACAGACACATCACCCCATACATATCGGCAAACGTCTCCCACCGAGGCCCTGAGAGACTCCTCATGCCAGACACAGCCATGCAAGAGCCAGTCTTGCCTACAAACGGCATTTCCTTTATTTTTCCCAAGGCCAAGAAACTACCAATTCTCCATATTGGCAATTAGATGAGTAGTTGGCCAAAAGGAACCTTGAGATTCTCCTGAGAGCTGTCATTTGAGTGAAAGGCAAACCCCTTGGATTCTAGAGTCAGTTTGGATTAAGTCCTGCCTCTTTCTGCCTGGCTAAAGGCCCCGAAGCAAGCTACCCCTCCTCCCTCCCTCTGCCTAGGTTTTCTCATCATAAACCTGAACTGTGGAGTTGTGAATTAAGAATAATTAAGACACATTATATCCAGTGGTGCTTAATCATTATGTAGCCTAGACTGCAGACCACGTCCCCCGGTCCTAACTTTAAAAGCAATGTCCCTCTTCTATGACACTTATCATGTTCTAACTTATGTGTGAATCTCTAATTTCCAAGTCTATCCCAGGCATTCTCACAGAAGTGGATGTAGCAACAAATAGACTCCAAGCCCAAAGAATGCAAGTCCAGCAACCTCACCATACTGTGAGCCGCAGAGGCGGGAGGACCTTCCATCTCACCTGTGACATCACGACTGCCATCTCAAATGTCCCCACGGTGTCCATGTTGGCCACAATGATGGGAATCCCTTTGTACGTCTGCTTTGAGTTTCGAAATGTAAAGGTACGCTCGAGATCCACCTGTGGGCCAAGAGGGCGACGAGTGAGTGCTCTTTAGGAGAGGTGCAGCATTTCTGTGCTCAGGGAAAGTGAGAAGAACACAAAGGAAGCATCTGACCCTCCGCCCCTGGATTCTCTTTGGGCTCTGACTCCAGATGTTCTGGAGAAAGGAGAATCCAAGTAACATGTTGTATCCAACTGCAAAAGCTCAAAAGGTGCCTGGTCACCCTCAAGCACCAGTACAAGGCACTGGGAAGGCTACCACAAAGCCGAAGCTCCAAATCAGAAGCTTTCGCTCCTCTATCAGCCTCTCCTCCCCGACTGCTGCCCTCTATTCTCCACCTGCTCATCTGGCCCTAAGCATCCACATACATGATATCCTTTCCCAACTTTCAAGCACCAGAAGGACCATTCCGCTTCTGAGAAAATCCATTCCGCCCTCCCCTGCCAATGATGACCTTCCTCCCTCCCTTGATAATCCCCGCAATGCTGACCTTTCACCTGGAACCACACTCGAAATCTACCCTGCAGTGAACTCCCAACCAATAATCTCTTAGCCTCTCAACCTCCACAGCTGTTCTGTAATTAGGAGCATCTTTGAGTGAGCTGGAGGGACATTCACTGCCACCATATGTCCATGCATATAAACACTTGTTCCTTTGACTTGCAAACAGCTGGAGGGAGGCCTCCAAATCCACTGTCACTCTGACTTGTGGGCTTTTAGGACTATCAGCTGTCAGGAACCCAGGAGAGCCGACTAGCAGGGTGGGCTAGCAGCAGCAGTGTGCAAATCAAGGGACTCATACAAAGCTACTGGAGTCAATGACATCTATGACCCAAAGCAGGTCCTGGGCCTGCTCTTATCACAGAAAGGTCACACACTATGGGTTCCATTCTGAGTTTGTTTCTGACCAAGTTTGGCCAGTGGAGGAGCCTGCAGAAAAAACAAAGGATAGTGGTGGAGACGGGGGACACCGGTGGTTCTTCCAGATCCCTTTTCAGCAACTTCTCCAGAATGGCTGGGCGTCCTTCAGGCCCGGGTGCTCCTGGTTCCAACTTTCTCAGAGTGAGCCAATCTTTCCTGCCAACTCTCACCCTAGGGGAGGAACAGCTTCTTACCATTGCCATCTCTGGGGTGCCTGAATATCCCATGTGGCATCTCAGCTGTATCAGGAACCTGCACTAAATTCCCTGCTTGAAATAGCCCACATTTCTGGCTTCCATGGCTGGACCCTGAGAGATTCGGATCACAATGGAGGTGGGTGCTTGCCCGAGCAAACTGGCAGGAGAGACCCAAGTATGAATCTTATGCTTCTAAAATAATTCACACCTACGTGACTCCAGCTTCCTGAGAACCCCACCAATAATCCTTTCCTACCAGTGTTTATCTAGAGCCTTTTATTCTTTTTCATCTGATTTAAGTTTCACTTCACGCAAGCAGCAAGCAGAATCAAGTCAGAAAACCCTGCGGGACATCTCAGACGCTTCCGCTTTTTCATTCCTCCTGCTTCCCACCCAGGGCTCCGTGTCCAGAAGGCTTCCTGGGTGAATGATGTCATCAATATGATTACACTGGCTTTAAACTACAGTCAACAAGGGGAAATGAGACTCTGTAATTGCAGGAACATATGCAGCGTCGGGTCCCTTTATCTACTTCCTTCATGATGACTCTTGGTTCTACACCAGTGAAGCAAGTTTTATTGACATCCTGCAAAATGACTGAGCGAGTCTATTAGCTGCAACCTTCTGTGCTGCTAATGGCTCTGTAACACTTTGGCTCAGGGGCTTAAAACAATCAGAATTCCTTGGCCTCAAATTCTTCTTCTACTCCTCCAAGAGGCATGGGGAGAGCTGTTATACTCTGCATCCGGCTGAGACCACAATGGCTTTTTCTCACACCAAGACCTGTCAGCGGTACAAAAACAAAACAAAACAACCAGCACTTCACAGAGAAGGTTCCCTGGCTTCGACAATGAATGTTTCCCTTCACTTCTAGTCCTCGGTAAGGCAGATGCTTGGGGCTAGGGGTGTAACTCGGTGGTCAGAAGTGCTTGGCATGCATAGACCCTAGGTTCAATCTCTAGAACCCCCTAAAGGCAGACTCTTTATAATATTTCATTCTGAAAATGAGTAATGAAATTATCTCCCCAGCCTTATTCACCCAGACACACACACACACACACACACACACACACCCAAAACAGACCAGTTGTTCGATAAGAGATAAATACTTTAAATATTCCAGCCTCCCAGGAACAAAACTTGGCATTTAATCTGCCACAGCTGGCCCATGTACCAAATATAGCACCTGTAAATTCCCTCTCTGTAAACCCCATCTGAAAGGGAACAGAAAATAACAGATTCCCCCCTTCACCTGAGAAACATGTTTCTACTGCTCTCTAAATACAACTTTATTGAGTTGTTTTGGGGGGCTCAAAAGTACAAATAGAGACCCACAAATCACATTCCAAATAATCCAATGTCATGGGTCAAGCTAACAATTTGCTGCATACAATATGTTTAATCCTCTTACCCTGTCACAATCAGTGACATCTATGGGCCAGGAAGGTCACAGAGAGTGGGCATCCAGCCCACAACTCTGTCCCTTCTCAAGTCTTAATGTGCACGTGTAGACACCTCTGCAGGTGAAGTTTTGTGCACATGCACACATTGTCACTCAGCCACTCTGGGTGGGAGGGACACACCCCTGAAGCAGTTGGTCCTTGGGAAAGCACACCTGGCAGGGGATGGCCCATGCAGGCCTTGGGACGAGCTCATATCATCTGGGGAGGGATACCCAGGAGTCTGAGAACTTGGAGCCTAGCCCCAGAAGAAACCACAGAGCCCACAGGCCCTGCCCAGTGAGGAGAGTCATCAGAGGACAAGTAGGGACCAGGGCAGGAGACACTTTTCCGAAATCTAGGGATGATAGTGAGATAAGCTGTTCTTTCATTATCTAGACTGTTCATTATCTGTCTCACCTGAGCACAGGGAGCTTGCCTTTCATCTTTGTAGGCCTAGTGACCTGACAGACATGAAATAATGAATGTTTCCCTTCACTTCTAGTCTTCTAGAATAGGGTACAGTTCAGGGCTAAGAGTGATGGTGTGGTTCGGCCCCAGCCTTTTGCAAGACAGTACTTGGTGATCCCAGCCCAGTCCTCTGGATGTGAGCCCTCAGGCCTCAGAGACCCTCCCACAGCTGCCACATCACCAGCCAGCACAGGTTCCACAAATAGAAAGGGTATCAGCAGCAACCATGTGCACAGCAGAATCCTTTTAGGATGATTTCTGAGAACATGTCCAGGTCACCCTAAACGTCATAAATCAAAACCTTTGTGTTGGAGACAGTGTGTATATGTTGGGAGTGTCTCCCTAGGTGATTCGGAGGCATTTGTGACTAACAGCAAGTCGTGGAGCCTTCTAATTATATGGAGGATGTTGCAAGCTAAATTGTGTCTCCCCAAAAAGAGGGTGATGTCCTAACCTCCAGTACCTGTATATGTGACCTGACTCAGAGAAAGGGTCTTTGCAACTGGTCAAGTTAGAATGAGGTAACTTAGCGAGGTCCCTAGTCTAGTATGACTGATGTTCTTACAAACAGGGAAATTTGAACCTGGGCACACAACACTTATTGTAGAGATGAGGTGAGGGCAGAGGTTGGCATGATGTATTTGCATGCCAAGAAATGCCCAAAGCTGCCAGTCAAACACACAAGAAAGTGAGAGGACGGAATTCACTCTCCCTCTGAGCCCTTGATTGCCTTGACCTGGGACCTCTAGCCTCCCAAACCAGGAGACAATAAATTTTTGTTTATTTAGTCACCCAGATTGTGGTATTTTGATGCAAAAGCCCCAGGAAACCAATACAAAGGTAATAGGGTCAGAGCTTAGACCAAAACCCTCTCCCAACCTAGTGCCTCTCCACTCGGCCTTGCTCTCATTGCCCTGGGCCAACCAGTAACAGAAGGTGCTTCTCACTGGACTGCTGGTGACACTTACCACTGAGTTTTAAGCAGAATGAATGTCAGTGGTATTTTCTCCACCTTAGGGTAGAGGGGTGATTTTCTGTACAAACTCTCTTCAATGCCACACTTTCAAAGTTAGGGTTGCATTTGATTGTTAAATTTTTTTCTTACTGATCCCCAAGACCAGGGTTGATGTCGAAGCCAGGAATGGGTCCCCAGGAAGAAAATACTCTGGAGTCACAGGATGTGAACTCCCCAGTGTACCAGGAAAGGGCAAAGTCTTGACTTAACAAAGTCATCCTCTTTGAAAAGATTATCCAAAATGCCCCCACATAAACCTGTGGCACTTTCTTCCTCTGAACCAAAGCTGGCTGGTCGACAGATGACTGTCTAGCTGTAGCACCTACATGAAGGCCACCTGTGTCACCTCTACCTGTCCTGTTGCTTCTGAGAGCTGACCCCAAATCATCGTGAGTCTTGGGCTGGAGTACTGAACTTCTATGGGGGAGATCAGGTTCCCTTTCTGCTTCCTGCTCATTCCCTGATGATCCATTTGGGACCTGGTTCTTAGCAAAACTGCCCCAGTGATCAAACTGGATAACTGCCAAAATACTCTTTTCCCAGCCAGATACTGTTACCAGGTAGGTTTTCTCTCCGGGATCCACTCAAACCTGCTCTCTGCTCAAAATCCTTCATCTGCTATTTAGTTTCGAATTTGTATGCAGTATTACTTCCACCAGGGTGCACACATTGTAAGCTTCTGATTGTGCAATTAAAGTTTGTATCTGGCACATGAAACTTCAGGCATCAACAAGCAAATTGAGAATCACTAAGAGGGAATTAGAAAGGCCTAATTAAATCCCTCAACACCACTCAGGCAAGTAAAGTCAGACCATGGGGAATGGCCAGCCACGCAGCAAACTCCTGCCCCGGGAAGCTAAACCATTAGAAGAACCAATCAGAAAGGCAACACCAGTTAACTGCAGCTTCCGGGCAGGTAGCTGGCAAATTCCTACAAAGTTGGAAACGTGGAAAACAGTCCTGAAGGGCACCGAATTCTAACTGTAGGTGCCACTGTATATTAATAGCAGCAATCAGTCCAAATTACAAAACCAAGGGTTGCATGCCATATTGTATTGTTCCCTGGAAGAATTCATTCCATTATGTAAATTTGGAAATGTTTTACCTTCATAAAGTGTTTTTCTGGTTTAGAGAACACATATATCCTTGTTTTGAAGGTATTTTTTCTTAGAAATAGTTTCTCTTCAAAATTAATTTGGAATACTTAAAGAATACTGCAGGTTGCTAAATCATTACTCCTCCCAGAATGCCCACTTTTATCTTGTCTGACCTCAGGTACTGCCTACAGCTCCTACTTCCAGAGGCCCAGGGCTGTCTTCCAAACTTTATTTTTGCTCCAAGAGTTTGCCCAGTTCTTTCGTGCCTTTGAAAAGAACAAGATGAAGGACAGGCACAGGGGCATCTAATCTGGGGTGATAAGGGTCCGTCAGTCCTCCCCCACCTCTTCCTGTCCTGTCCTGGCTCCAGCCGGCCAATGCTGCCACTTGGGGAAAGTGAACTGCGAGAGGCTGTCCAGATCCCAACAAGCCCTCAGCTGGCAGCACCCGACACTGCAGTCAGGCCTGGGCACTGGAGTGGAGTTCTTCTTCTCCGAGGGGATTTATTTATGGTCTTGTTTGCGGAGCTGGTGAAACGAAGCTGGGCACGCTGGCTCAGCGTCCTCCACTTTACCCTTTGGGACCCAGCCTTCCAGACCCTGTGGTTTCCCGTTTCTCAGCTCCCAGAAGACCAGGCAAAGTCAAGGTCCCTGGCTCATAACTACTCCTGTGGACTCTGCCTTCCCCTCAAACTACTTTGTCCTTCAGGGTCTGACCTCCCTTTTCCCCAGTCCCTGGCTATTTCCAGGCCTGACTCCACCTGCTCCTGTAAGCTTTGATCTCATTAAGACAAAACAAGCAAAAGGCTCCAGGCTTCCAGTTCGCCCTACCGCCCTCAGCCCAGCGCTTTCTGCTTCTCGCTGGGGCTGGGCTAGGACTACGGGCTGTCCAGTACCGCGCGGCGCCACCAAGAACCGGTCCCCAAGCTCCGCTCCCGGCAAGACCACCTTAACTCGGAAAGTCAACCGTGAACTTGCTTCCGGGGGCTCCCGGCTTTTCGGCTCTGTTAAAGTCCACCAAGCAGCAGCAGCAGTTCCCGGCACGCGGAGATGCTGCCAAAAATCGCAAGGATCTGCGGTTGTTTTGCTCTGGCTTTCCACCCGGCTCCACCGTTTCCTTTTCCCCGGGAGTGCGCCTCCCTACCCCCATTCTAGGTCTATTGGCCACTTGATCTTTGCTCCTCTGTGGTCCAGTTTCAGTGTAAACTTCCCCTTGCCCATCCAACCGGACTGATTTACAATTTTAGGCCCGAACCGGGCCCCTTTCTCCCTGTCCTTACAGACAGCCCAAGTCCTGGCAGGGCGCCGACTGGCCCTCCTCTTTCCCGGGGGAAAGGTGGGCAGCACCCAGCCTCGGACACAGAAAAGCAGCCACCCCTTCCACTACCTCCCCCGCGGCACCCAGAAAACAAATTCTCAGCCCCGGGTCAGGTTTCAAACTGACCCCACCTCGGATCGGCTCTTGAGGCTGCTCCGCTTAGGTCGGAGCAGGACATCCTTGAAGTCGAGCTTGAGGTCCGCATCTATGCGGGGCATGGTGCTGGCGCGGCAGGGCGGCCGGCTCCTTCCTGCGGCGGAGGTGGCGACAGTGCCACGGCCTGCGAGGGGCAAGGGCGGTGCGGGGCGCGTGCGTGGCACGGCCGCCGGGGCTGCTGTGCCGCGGCCCGGGCTCCCGCGGGCCCGCGCGCCAGCCGGCTCTTCAGTGCGCCCGCCCCGCGCCCCCGGCCGCGCTGGTTCGCCCCGCCCGGCGCCCGGTGGCCACGCCCCCGCACTCCTTGGCTGCGCACCAAGAGCCGGGAGCCGGGTGGAGAGGCGAGGGGGCCGCGGGCGTCTCCCAATCCGCTCGGCGTACAGTCCTGCTCATTGCTACCGCCAAATTGTGCACCTGTGCACCATCTAGGCTATTACCGAGGATCCCCTTAGAGAGGGGACTTGGCGCATTACCGCCTTATCCAAGGGTAAAGGCCAATCCTTGAGAGGTTTGACTTCTCATTACTCCAGTTTCAAGTCCAGCGTGCACCAAGTGCTGGCCTCTCCCATGCCAAAGAGGGAGAGACCCTTGGGAGGCTGGACGGAAATACAGGAAACCAGGCGGGGCCCGTGCAAGCCTAAGGCCCAGGGTTCCATCACTGTGGAGTGGGGTCAGATATCAGTTTAACAGCGCTGGGTGGTTTGGGCCATTTTTGGATACCCTTTAGATTTCAGAGGTTTTTGCTGATTTTTATTTAGAACAACAACAGCGAGGTCTATAGTCAGCGCAGATCCTGGGATTTGAGGGACCTGAATCCTCTCCAGGGTTACTAGTGACATTTTTTAATTTTTGAGAGACAGAGAGAGAGAGAGAGAGAGAGAGAGAGAATTTTAATATATATATATATATATATATATATATACATATATATATATATATATATATATATATATTTTAGTTATCGGCGGACACAACATCTTTGTTTGTATGTGGTGCTGAGGATCGAACCCGGGCCGCACGCATGCCACATCCCCAGCCCCATCAGAGTTCATTTTTAGTCACTTGTTGAGCTTCCTGAACCTCTGCTGCAGCTTGGAATGCGCTTAAGGACTTTTCCTGCACCTGCTTATCCACCCTCAAAACAGCCCATCCACGGGAGCTATTTTGCAGATAAGGAAAGTGAAGTTCATGCAAATGAAATACTTTGTCCAAAGCTCCCCAAAAGTTAAATATAAGTCCTCTCTGTCCTGGAAACTTACGTCAACCTTTTGCCACAGCTGTTTTTTAACCCTAGGGACCTCTTTTCTGTGTGAATGGAAAACCCGGTTCCACCACTTTCTAGCTGGGTCACCTTGAGGGAGTTAATTTCTCTGACTCATTGTCTCATAGGTTAAAGAAGAACTTAAAGCTACCCTCTCCCAGGTTTTTTGTGTGAATTAGATTGTGTGTGTGTGTGTGTGTGTGTGTGTGTGTGTATGCAGAATGTACGTTCCATTGTAGTTGCTCAATAATAATGGTGATTATATTATTTGGGGTCACATGTTAACTTATGTGCATTGGGTTTTATAATCTCAGACTACATTGCTAACTGCACAAAGCCAGGAATCACTTTCATTTTCTTTCACTTCTCAAAAGGCTCTAACTGTTCTCAATGTACCCTGTGGCTGACCATAAAGACATAGCACAATGTTCATTTTAACACAAATGACTGCCAGTGACAAAAGTCTTCAGCCATTCCACTTGGTGACATGATTATCTTTGCCTCACAGGAATTTTGAAAAGTTTCATGGAAGGAAGTGAAAGTTATCAGAGAGCGGGAAGATAACCACAATTAGTCCAGCCAACAAGTTATTTATGACCCACCCTTATCACATCGTTGAAAGCTGGCCAGATGTGACACTTACAAATAGTGGGGAATCTCAGTTCCTTAATTAAAGACTAAATAAAAGTCAAATATTACCATGTCATATAGTAATTACTATATGACATGGTAATTATTCTTCAAAAAGGGAAGAAAAGCCAAGCTTATTAAGCATCTGCTCAGAGTGAAGAAGGGCAGAGGTAGCGGAGGGCTTTATACTCAAGGGCACACACACACTGCCTTATGGGAAGAGCCTCCTTCGCTGGCTCTGGCCTCATACTCCAGGTAGTATCTCTTCTCTTGGTTTACTGCCCACCCCTCCTCTATTGGAAGAGACAGAAGTTCAGTTTACACATTCCATTCCCCCTCCTATTGAAATGTTCCAGCATAACTGTATCTTCAGACACAAAGTCATGTTCCTTGGTGAATCACTAGGAGTCCCTGATTCTCTCACACCAACAGAGACTCTACTATCCTGTGATCTGTGCCCCAAAGGCCCATGTGTTGAAGGCTTGGCACTGATAGGAGCAGGTAGAGCCTAGTCGGAGGAAGTTGTATTATAGGGAGCATGTCCTTGGAGGGACTATTGGGACATTGGTCCCACCCCTTCCTCTTTGTTTCCTAACTACCATGAGGTGGGCATCTACTTCTGCCAGGTACTCCCCACTATGATGTACAACCTCCACCAGAAGCCCAAAGGCAATGGGGTCAAACAACCATCGACTGAAACCTCTGAGTCTGTCAACCAAAACAAACCTTTCCTCCTTATACACTGATTACCCCAGGTATTTTGTTACAGCGATGGGAAGCTGACTAACAGAATCCTTTAGGCAGCCTTTACACTGTGAACAGATTTCAGCTCCTCATATCACAAATAATAACAGTGATAATTTCTATCGAAACAATGATTTTACGAAGAAATTTTGACTAGACGAAGCCATAAGATATATCCAGAATCCAACCTGAGAACATTATCTTAACTAAGGGTAGGGTGACTCCAAAAATTACATGAGAAGATAACCTCTAAAATTATGTGGGATAAATTCCACATGGTGACTGTTCTTTTATATATTCATGGATTCAGTTTGCTAATATTTTGTTAAGGATCTTTACATCTAAACACATGGGGTACATGAGTCTGTAGTTTTTATGTCTTTAGCAGGATTATGATGGCCTCATAAAATGAATTTGGAGTGGGGCATGGTGGGGCACACCTGTAACACCAGCCACTCAGGGGCTGAGGTATGAGGGTCACAATATTGAGGCCAGCCTGAGCAACTTGGCAAGGTCCAAAAGACTTAGTGAGATCCTGTCTCAAATAAAAAGTAAAAAGGGGTGGGTGAAGGGTAAGTGAGAAATGAGAGATGGAGACCAGGCAGAGACACACACAGGTTTACCTGTCAGAGCTGACACATAAAGGCCGTCTCTCTATAGGAGAGAGAGGCAACACAGGCTTGAGTTCTGGAACTTTTATGGGACAGGCTCAGGAATCAGAGCCTGACAGGTCCTAATGCGGGCGGTTAGGGGTTGGGTTGGTATGAGGGAGTGGTGAGCCTTTCTCAGAAAGGCCCTTGGGTGGGAAAGTGAAACTTTTTCCTTAAAATGGCAGCTGTCACTTAAGATGGCCATCCAGATGCTAAGCCCCACCTTATAGTGGGGATGTGACTCAGTGGTCAAGAGCACCTATGTTCAAACCCTTGTACTAAAAATATATAAGAATTGGGAAGTGTTTCTTGATGCTTGGGATTCGTTCTTTAGGTATTTCATAGAATTAATCAGTGATCTATAATTATGAAGGATAAGAAAATTGTTTTTTGATAGACAAATATCTCAAAACCCTAAAATAATTATACTTGAGTAATAATTAAAATCCTTAAAATAATTCAAAATCACAGTATTTAGTATAATGGGAATAAGAAAGATTTTGCTCATATTTAATGTTTTGTGGTATTTTGCATTCTTGAGAAAATTTGTCCCATTAGATTAAGAAAACAATCTTCTAATACCAATTCAAAATGAACGTTTGGGTATACCTGTAATCCTATTTACAGGGGTTCACTTGAGGCTTTGACTGTATTCCTTGTGGCTTTGAAACTTACATATTTTTTTTTCTTTTTCCCAATCTTCTTTTCCCTAAATTCCTCCCTGATCTTCTTTCCCTACACTTCTCCTCCCCGATCTTTTACTGATCTTCTCTTTTCTGATCTCTCCTCCCTAACCTCATTTCTCTGAATCACCCCTATAAACCCCCCCTGTTCCTGCTGATGGGCAGAATCACAGCCTTTGGGACAGGAGTCCCCTGTGTTTCTCCTTTGCTAACAAAGCAATAAACCTTTTTCTCAAGACTTTGTCTTTGTTATTGGATTCACCTCAAGGAACAAGCTTTGGATTATAATCCCAGCAGCTCTAGAGGCTGAGGCAGGAGGATCACAAGTTTAAGGTCAACCTCAGCAATTTAGCCTGGCCTTGTCTCAAAATAATTTTTTTTAAAAAAAAAAAGGTCAGGGGATATGGCTCAGTGATAAAGCACCCCTGGGTTCAATCTCCAGTGATAAAAAATGTTTGAGTAAGTGAGTTGAACATGAGGATAAGGTGAAATGTATTCAGGAACATTTTAAAGAGAACATAAATTTCACTTAAAGAATTTATAAAAGCAAATAAATTATGCTGGAAAGTTCCCCTAGCTGGTGAGTCTGCTGTTTTGTCATGCGTGATGATTGCTGGGAATCTGATGAAAATGCAAATACTGCTTCAGAGGTTCTGGGTGGGGCCCAAGGCTTTTCATTTCTGGCAAGTGTCTGGTTCTGGGGACTGGCACTGAGTAACAGGGAGTTACACTATTAGCATATTTCAAAGGGAAATCTTGTTCCTTGTATTTTTTTAATGCAGCTTAAAATACTTGAAAGTATTTAAGTTTGTAAATGTGACCTTGCATTATCCAAAAGCCTTTTCAAGGCATTTGCTATAATTTACTAAATAGAATTTTTAAGTAAAGAAAATGTCTAAGCGAATAAACAAGTTTTTTTAAAAAAACTTTTTAATTTGTTATATATGAAAGCAGAATGCATTACAATCCATATTCACATATAGAGCACAATTTTCATATCTCTGGTTGTACACAAACTAGAGTCACACCATTTGTGTCTTCATACATGTACTTAGGGTAATATGTCCATCTCATTCTACCTTCTTTTCTACCCTCATGCCCCCTCCCATCTTCTCCCTCCCCTTTGCCATATCTAGGGTTCATCTAATCCTTCCATGCCCCACCACCACCACATTATGAATCAGCATCCTTAAGTCAGAGAAAACATTTGGCATTTGTTTTTTGTTGT